GCGCCCGCTGGGATGTGCCCAACGGTCAGCGATACCGCGACAACGTCGGCCGCGCCGAGCCAGTTGGCCGCCGCGCGCAAGTGCACGCGCGGGCTGTCGCGACCGCAAATATGCACCAGCAGCACCCAGCACTCATGGCAATCGCCGCCGCTCTTGTTCTGCAAGACAAGTTGCGGGTGAGTGGGTGGGATGATTGCGCGAGCAGTGGAGCTGAACACTGCAAATTCCACAAGTGAGTTGCACCACTCAGGTTGCACCGTAAATATTGCACAACATTTATTGCACCACATATATTGCGCCGCGTAGAATGCTACATCGAACCACACTGTTTGGGGCCCACGCTGGCTGCCCTGTACATTGATGCATCTACGTTTCTTTCTTTCTTTTTTATATAAAAAAGATCGTTCCTCCTTCGCCTCCCCCTCCTGGCCGCGAGCCGCGGAACCGCGGACCGCCTGGTCATCGTGAGCCTAGACCCCCATCAACTGGAGCCCGCCTCCTCCCTCCCTTCTCCTCCTTCTCCTCCTCCGTCTCCCCTCCCTTCTGTGCAATGCCATGCACAGGCATGCCAAGCGACGCAAAGCAATGGCAAGCAATGCCAGGCAATGCAACGGAATGCAATGCAATGCATCTCAAAGCCAAGCAAAGCAATGCAACGCAATGCACATCAATGTCAACCAGTGCACTGCAACGCAAAGCAACCGATGCAGGGAGAGGCATTGCAATGCAAAGCAACTCGAAGCGATACAACGCAACGCGAATCGATGCAAATCACTGCAGAGAGATGCAACGCAATGCCAATCAATGCAAAGCAATGGGTTGCAATGCGCAGCAACGCAAAGCAATGAATGCCAACGCAAAGCAACCCAATGAACAGCAACGAACAGAGAAAGCCACCGTGCAGTACAAGGCAAATCAAACCAGACCAGCGCAAAGCGACGCAACGAAAGCAATGCACATCCGCTGGCGCCTCGGGAGTCCATCGGCGCGTGAGATACTCGCCCCTCCCCAAGACCCCTCCCCTGGGTGAACGGCCCAGTTGCCTCTTTCTCGGGGGGGAGGTGGCAGTCAGAGTCCTGCCGGGGAGCCCATCAGCTGTCCCGCCGCGTCTCCGACAGCGTCGGACCGCCCAGGACGGTCCCAGGGGCCCTCCACGTGGCCCCGCTTGGCCCCTGACACGAGACCTCCTCCTCCTCCTCCTCCTCCTCCTCCTCCTCCTCCTGCTCCACCTCCGCCTCCGCCTCCACCTCCACCTCCACCTCCACCTCCACGTGGCTCCCCCGTGACGCTCGCCACGAGACCTGCGAAACGCCCTCAGGGAGGTCCAACTGGGCCCCCAACGGGGCCCCGCGGGGCAACAGTCATTGATGCCCCATCGGTGTTCAACCGTTTCTGATGTACTCGTCTCGTCGAGCTCGCGACGCTCCGAGACGGCCTGCGGAGCCCCCCCGCGCCGCCCCAACGACAACCCAAGAGGCGGCCCAGAGGGTTTCAAGACGGCGAAGAAAAGCGCCGACACGGCCCAAGAGCAGCCCAAGGCGGCCCATGAGGTCTCCAGGACGGCTCCCAGATGGGGCCCAAGAGATGCCAAAAGGCCACCAAGAAGCCCGAAACGGGTCCGAGAGGCCCCGCGGAGCTCCCGCAAGCCCCCAAGAGGCGCCTAGACGCCCCCCATAGACCCCAACGAAACTACCAAATGGTCCCATCCAAAGCTTCCACACTGCCTTCAAGAGCCCCCCCAAAAGCTTCGCGAGAGATCTCCACGAACTCCCGCAAAGCCTCCGAACCGCAACTTGGGCGCCGTGGCAAGATTGGTCGACGGCCACCAGAAGGGAGAAATCGTACATGGCGGGCAAAAGCATGCTACGGCCCGCCCAACCACCCGCAATCTTCGGCCTGTTTCGATATTCTCGCCTTTTCGAGCCCCCCCACAAGAGTTCCATAAGGACCTCCAACAGGGCCTCAAGAGACAAACGTCTTAGATTGTCCTTGGGTTTCTCACTGCTTCGACGTCCTCGCCTCTTCGAGCCCCAGGCGCTCCGACGTGACCCAGCGTGTCACTGAGACCGCCCCGCAGCGACCCAAGAGGCGCAGGTGCGCGCGATCCCCGCGGGAGCGCGACACATTCGAACGCGTTCGCCCCCTTTCGCGCGCGAGGTCGCACTGCCGGCGTGCGACGGGCCGCTGGCTCGAGCCCTCGGCAAAACAATGGCCCACCTGGTCCTGACTACCTACCAGACCACCCCAACCCAACCCGAAGACCCCAATTTCGGGTTGGGGGGGGGGGTACGGGTTCCATATGTGTGTTTTTCAGTGTTCCCCGACCCCCCCCCCCAACTGGAAATGGAGGGCAAATTGAGGCCTTCGGGTTGGGTTGGGGTGGTTTGGTGGGTGGTGAGGTCCTGCGATAGATGCGCGATCTCCGCAAAAAGCGGGCTGGCCCCCACCGGCCTGGGCCGCACGCGCAGAGCACCGCAACGCCCTGGGCTCCCCCCGCTGTTTTCCGAGCCCGCGCTCCCGCTCGCAAACGCGCCGCGCGTGCCACTGGGCTGTGCCTCGCTTGTGATGCTGACAGTCGGGGCGTTGACCTAAGGAACCCTAAATAAGGAACGAGGCCCCTTTCTTCCATGAGTTAAATTTCGATTTCCTATCGAAAACATAAGGGAAACCTGAGGCAAGCTGTGAAACACTTGGGGAACGCGGAGCCCCTCCCCAACCAAAAGGGTTCCTTCTTCAGGGCCCCGACTGTATTCTTCTGGTCTTGCGACAGATGCCAATCTTCTGTGCACGCGGGCAGCGAACCGCCGTCCTGGGTCGGACACGCAGAGCACCGCAACACAGGGGCCGCCTCTTTTTTGTCCGAGGCGGCGCTCCCATCTTCAAACACGCCGCGCATGCCACTGGGTCGCCTCGCTTGTGGCAACTATTCCTCTGGCTGTCCGACGAGTTCCCATCTTCTGTGAACGCGGGCATCGGACAGCGTTCTGTGAAAAGGCACGCAGAACACCGAAACACTGTGGCGCCCCCACGCGCGCATCATGGCACGCACGGCACACCACCGGGCGACGGCCACTGCCCGCGGTGTTGCAAGCTCCGCACCTGCTGCTCTCTCGGGTGCCCCATGTCCGTGAGAGGAGGGTCCTTTCAATCTGGCTCTCTTGGGCAGGCAGAGCACCGCGAAGGCACCTTCATCCGTTCCATCTTCCGCGCTGCGTTCTCCTCGCTCGTCCTCCCCAGATTTCTGCGCCTCGCTCCACTCGCTCCGCACGCCCTAATGCTTGGGGGCGCGCTTCCGATAACGCCTCTTACCAGCAATTTTCGTCGCGCACGCACTGCGCCGCTGCGATTTTTGCATTATCATAAAATCTTGCACCGCGCGCGCCGCCCCCTTCACCTCTCCACGAAGTTTCCTGCCACTTCTGCAAGTCCTTCCGAAATTTCCTTGCCGACGACCGCCCGACGCATCGGTCGCGCTTACCTGTCCGAACGCACACTCGAACTTCCTCAGATACACTTATCCCCTTCCCAGCCGCCCCCAGCACCCACTCGTCGCACCTGGTGCGCCACTTTCCCCTGCTTCTTTCAAAGCCCCTGCGCATGCGCGACACAAACTCAGATCCAACAGTGTCTACGATAGCCGACGAGGCTTTCAATATCGCCCCATGACAGACCACGAGACCGCCAAGATCCTCCCAACAACCCAATAAGGCCCCAAAACGGCCAACGAGACCTTAAGGCGAAACTGACCTCAAAGACCGTCTAGAAACCCGCCACGAAGCCTCCAAACGACCCGTGAAGACTCCCTATCCGTCATTTCTTGCCGACCCCACAGCCTGGCCCCCAAGGGCTCAGCGGAGCGGCGTGAGCCCGTGAGTCAATGAAGTGCAGCGCAAGGCAGCGCAGAGCAGTGCAAAGCAGCGCAGAACCGTGCAAAGAAATGCAGAGAAATGCGCAGCAATGCAGTGCAAAGCCATGCGGCGACGAGGCGGCGGGCGGCGACGAGGCGGGGACGGGACGGAGATGGCAGCCACATAGCTGATAGACCGACGCGCAGGAAGCGGCACATAGGAGCACGGCAAGGAGCTACAGCAAAGAGGTGGGTGGCCACAGAGGGAAGCAAATAGCTGAGACTTGCGCTCAGATCGTGCAGACCCCCGTGAGCACTGCGGGCGGGTTCACGTTACTGGAGGAAACGCGCGCTGTCCCGTGATCGTCCCGTGGCGGTCCCAAGCCCTGTGCTTGACCGCGGTCGTGTCCCAATTGTGAGATCGTTACTGAATCAATCAGATACATGTTCCGTGGTTTGCCCGCGGTCCCGCGGTTGTCCCGCGACTGTTCCGCGTCATGTGCCGCGGTTGCCCCGCGGCTGTCCCGCGGTTGGCCCGCGCTGGTCCCGCAGTTGCCCCGCGGTTCTCCCGTCGTGGCCCCGTGGTTGCCGCGTGGTGGTCCCCGCGCCAGCTCCCAGAGAGCCGCAGGCGGAGCCCCCTGCGGCGAGCCCCGGCGGCCCCGTGCGGCGTGGAGGGAGGGGCTGCCCGCACAGCTCGCCGAGAGCCCCTGCGGCGGCACGATATGCGGTCGGGGCTCGGGAATTGTTGCTGAGCGTGCCGCGGCGAGGGTCCCAGCGACACGCTGCGCCCTGCAAGCGGCTGTCGTGGTCGCTGCGTTCCGCGAGGCGGGAGGTTCGGAAAGGCTCGGGCCGTGGACGCTCGGGGACCCCGGTGTGGATACTCCAGATTTCGTAATAAAAGGGAGGGGGGTCTCATTTCGGGGGGGGTCTCTTCCAGGCTATCTTGGAGGGCCTGGGGGGATCTGGGGGCGACGTTTTGGAGGGTTCTCCCACGGGGGAGGTCTGAAATGGCTTGTCTTGGAGGGTCCAGACCCCCTCCCTCTTATTACGAAATCTGGAGTAGCGTGTCGCGTCGAAGCCAATGGTGAGCCAGAGCCAGCGGAGCGGCACTCGAACAAACTATTTCCGGCCGCGGTGGGGCCGAGGCCCGTGCTTCTGGACTCCGGCTCCCCGGCAGGGTCCGCCGCTGCGTCCTGGCGCCGCTCCCCGCGAGGTTGCAACGCCGCCTGTCCGGGCTCCTCCACTCTTTCTTCCTCCTCCTCCTCCTCCTCTTCCTATTCCTGTTCCTGTTCCTCTTCCTCTTACTCTTCCCATTCCTCTTCCTCTTACTTTTCCTCCTCTTACTCCTCCTCCTCATCATCCTCATCCTCTTGCTCCTCCTCCTCCTCCTTTTCCTCCTCCTCCCTCCCACCCCTTCTCCTTCCAACTTCTTCTTCCCCCTCATCCTCCTCATCCTCCTTTTCCTCCTCCTCCTCCTCCTCCTCCTCCTCCTCCTCCTCCTCCTCCTCCTCTTTCTCATCACCACCATCATCATAAGCATCCTCATCGTCATCACCAGCATCATCATCACCATCACCATCACCATCACCATCACCATCACCATCACCATCATCATCATCATCATCATCATCATCATCATCATCATCATCATCATCAACATCATCAACAACATCGTCATCTTCATCAACATCATCATCATCCCTCCTCTTCCTCCCCTTCCCTCTTCCGTCCCTCCGTCCCTCCCTGCTCGTCCTCCTCCACCACCCCTCGGCCTCTTCTCATTGTTTCCACGGGCAGTGAACCTGGTGTTTCCAAGCACTTTCGGCGCCACCCCGCAAAAAATTGCCGGCGCGCGCCGCGATTGCCCTCGAGGCCGCAGGCCGAAGCGCGCAGGGCCGCAGGCAGGCCGTTGGTCGAGGCCGCGGGCCAGGCTTAACGAGCACGTAGGCCCACACTTTTCCAGCGCTTCCACCAGGGCACTCCACTACAGTAGGGGCTCGACCACAAGAAACCTTCCACAAGAAACCCAACCCTGAGACCCCAGGACGTCCATTGACGTTCGGTGTGCGAACGTCACGATTTACATCGCAAAACCATCGAAACCCAAGAAACCCAGGGCACCCTGGAGGCAAGCAGGGTGTTTCTTGGCATGGGTCTCCACTATATTCGAGCTGCGTTGCCATATCGTTGATCTTCTCGGGTTCGCCCGAATTTATGGTCAGGCTCATCGTGGCAGACAGTACCGTGTCTTATTGTAAAACGCCGCATTTCATGGAACGCCCGCTGCTGCCGAATACCATGTGTGTATGTTTTGGTTCGCTTGCATTCCATTTCCTTCGCGCAGCCCTCCGAATTGGTCTCCTGGGTTCTACTCCGTCTGGCTCGTCGATTAGGACGTCCCACATATATGCATATAGAGTTCGTGGACCATTCCTTCGGGTCTTCGGGTACTACAAGCCTCCTTTTGTTGTCATCGTAGTCCGTTGAAGCTGTCGAGCTTGAATATATGCTGCAAGCGCTAACCATCCCTTCAGGATCGGGCCATGCCGTCAACGGCCAATTCATGTGAGGCACCATTCATGGTTTCATGCCAATCCGTCAAATTTTTGAATGCTTAGCGGTCGTAAGAATTAACGTGCAGCGGTTTTTTGTTTTCATCAAACAACTTTGGTTCTGTCTTTTGCAAACGATCTCAATCGTTGTATGGCCCTGCGTTCGCTACCCGGCTTTTGTCCCTCTCCACCTGTCCGGTTTATGTTTTCTGCGATCGGTTCGGCTATCTGGTAATTATGTCCGTTCTGGACGCCCGTTTGATCCTCAAGGTGCTCGGCTTTCAACTGTAAGTGTGCTCGTTTCCCATGCTGCGATTGACGATGTTCAACAATCACGAACTCACTTTCTGAATCATGAACAATCGGCCATAGTTTTCCGCGTCCGTAGCCGTCCTGGCATTTGCTACTATATGTATACATATGTGCTATGTGCCTCGCTGTGAGCTCTCCCAATCATTCAGGATTCGCTCCCACGGCCACCTTTCAACATAAGCGCAGTCTCCTCCTCAGCATGCGGCCTCACATGATTCGCTGAATCACGATGGATTCGACATTCACCATGGATCACGGTCCTGGGGTGCGTCTCACTGTGGGTGCGAACCCCCAAGATGTACTGGAGCCGCTGCTGCGGCTGCTGGGGACCTCGCTCAGCTGCCATGCAAATTCCCCCTGGGGAAATGCACGGAAACAAAAACGGTTGAGATTTGCTGCGCAGCGGGGCTCCACGCACGCTCCTCTTGATTACTCGAGCCAAGATCCGTGGGACTATCTCGTTGACATCTGTTGCTCACCCAGTCGTAGCGCTACGTTCCTCCTCCTCCTCTTTCTCCCAGGCGTTCTCCCATCCCCGCCCTTCCCTCGGTCTGTGGCCCCCCCTGGGGGCACGGACCTGATCTTCTTCAGCTCCTATCAGAGACTCCAACTGATGCCCTCGCTTGTGCTTGAGTGTCGGGCGTGGCTCGGGAAGGCTCAAATATGCCGAAACATCGACGCTCACACAACAAACACCTGCATCGACCAAGGTTCGAAATCCGTGCTTGAGCTAGCTGGCCAGGAAGAAACCATCAAAGGCGATTGCCACCGTTTTGGATTAAACGTGCACGCTGGCTCACGATGCTACGCGAAATTCATACACAATGCGCGTGCATTTCTGTCGACTTGCCGCCAGGGCGAAGCATCCGGGTACTACTTAGATTCGCGGTGGGACTCCACGCTTCGAAAAAAAAGCAGCTGCACGCCAGGGCAACCCGACGGATGCCCATGGCACGTCATGGTTTCTGGGCCCGGCGAAACTTTGAAGGACGGACACCCAATTTGACCTGAGGCTGCAACGTGGCATCATCCGGCAGCCAGTATCATCCCCGCCGAAATCGTTGTCATTGATGTCAACTGTCGTTCTCATAATCATCACTCGTCACTGATGCACTCGGCACAGCGTCACCATGATCGTCTACCGCATCTGGCGATTGGCGCCCCTGTAAGAAGAACCCACTTTGTGAGGGAATGTGGGCCAAAAACACACAATACCGCTAGACTGGCTCCGGGAGCGTCAAAGCTCTTGAGATCTTCTTGTGCCAAGCGTATTGAACACACGCGGCGATTAGAACTTGAGGTCCAGGAACGGAAAACAAGGAGCATGATGACGATTGCGTTAGCGAGAGAGGTCCACACATGCGGAACGAGGCACAAATACTTTACACCTCCACTGTTCACGCTACCGACGTGCCAGCATCTAATGCTTTCTGGCTGCCCCCGCTCCATGCGCAACCACTTGGGGGAAACATCGCGCAGTCTTTTCTTGCTGTTGTCGTGGGAACTTCCGGACGTGGATGTCGGGTGCCAACACGCGTGCAACTAAGGGAAGGAGCACGAGCTCGGCCTCCAGAAAACGTCGCTGCCCACGCAAGTGCTCCGCGTTGCCCTCCGCGTTTCGCTGCAGGGCCTTGGCCGTGGCTGGCGGCAGGAAAGAAGCGCGTAGTGGTTGCAAGGGGGAGAGAAAGAGCAAGAGAAAGCGAAAGAGCAAGAGACAGAGAGAGAGAGAGTCATATACATATATTGATATAATGCTAGTACAATGGATAATAAACATGATAATCATACTACAACGCACACACTATTAAATAAGACTGAGTGGGAACGACTGAGTGGGAGAGAACGTCGTGCACAAGGAACATGAGATGGAGAACAGGACGGGGGGAAGAGATTCCAGGTAAAGAGCGAGAAGGGAGTGAATGCACGCCTCTGCGATCACATCCCGCCCTGCCGCGAACTAGCTCTGTGTCCGAGTACCTCATGCACTCAGAACCGTTTCCTGGACTGCGCCGGGAAGCAGCCAGATTCCAAGAGTGCCAGGACCGAATTTCTTCCAAATCAGAAGGCGTCATGACCCCGCTGCAGGAACAATTACGGCCAAAGGAAATCCACAGATCGCAATGGAACAGCTGCCAGGCCCTGGAGCTTAGCGTACCCGATGTTTCAGAACACCACCTCTTCTTTTTTGGATATTGTTTGAGCTCCCCTCTTCATCTTCCCCCATTTCCTCTTTCCCAAGTGTTGGACTTCAGTCCCGGGAAGTGTCGAGGCGTCCGCAGTGCGAGACTGTTCTGCGTCCTGCTCCTCTTTGCTGGGCAGCTGTTTCGAATCTGATTCCAAGACAACGCCAGATTGCTTCCGATGGCCAATATCGCCTCTGTGTGGCTCGCTCTAACGTGTCCCTAGAGCAGCCCAATGAAGCTCCACCATAAGCACAATAGTGAAACAGCACATCGATATTCAATATATGCCTCCTCGCCTTTGTGGCCTATAATGGGCGCACAAGCCTCAAGATGACACCACGACTGTTGCCCAACAGGGCCAGGGGCTCAAGAGGAACCCAACCAGGCTAGTGCGTCCAATATGCTTCAAGACTGCCCAAGCAGGTCATTTCCACTAGCGCCACGAACGGCTGCACACGAATACAATTTGTTTTCGTTGGGTCTCACGCGAAATCCGCAAATCAGCATGCGCAGCCCGCATGAAGGAGGGGGGGCACCACTGACCAGCTCACATCAGAGGAGGAGGAGGAGGAGGAGGAGGAGGAGGAGGAAAAGGACGAGGAGGAGGAGAAGGAGGAGGACGAGGACGAGGAGGGGGAACCCCTCACGCCAACCGCTCGCGCCTCGCAAACCGTTTAGATCAGATTAGCCACATGTCCAGCATTAAACTGGCTGCATTCAATGCCGCGTAATGTGATGGTTGATGGTGTTTCTTCCGTCGATCAGGAATCGTTTTGAGCAACCGACTGATTTGGTTTTATGGAGCTGCCTGCTTAGTTGAAGTACTGTCGCCCCGCTTTGTTTCACTAGGGTTCCTTCGTTGGCTTTGGGACGATAGCTCAACCTGCCCAGCAATTCGTGGCCAGATTGTGGCTCATGCACCATGGTGCAAGTGGCTGCGCGGTCTCATAAAAATCCATTCGAACGACATGCCTGGAGGCCTTGGAGGCTTCAATCAAGCCGAAGGCGCTCGAAACCTCGATCCTCGAACGTGGGAAACCTTTCCTTCCCAAAGTCCACCTCATGTTGGGGCGGAGAGCCCCGCTCGGCCCTTGCGAGGGGCGCCCCCGCTTATGCCGGGCAGGGCGCACTCCCGCCTCCCCGTGCCCCATGCCCCCTCCCCCCGTCTGTCCCGCTCCTTCTTCGAAGTGTCCTTTGGGGGGCTTCTGTCGGTGAGACGTAAGACTCGGGTACGGGGGACTCGGGTTGGCCCGACGGGGCCATCATAAAAATGACGAGGCCCAATCTGAAATTTGACGCGAGCTCCCGCTGCAGACATCCCACGAAACCTGGACCGTCAAAATCCAGGACGCGCTCGTCAAAAAAAGTCGGCAAACCCGAGTTCCGGCTTACTCGGGTCTTGCGTTTCCCCGATTCGGGTTGTATGACAACCGTCGGCGGACGTAGAAGAGTCGGCGAAGGGGAATGGGCGGAAGGAGGAGTCGGAGGTCGTACATGGCGCGAACGCACCTACCTTGCCCCCCCCCCTCTCCCCTGTCCACTCCCACCTTTCCCCCTCTTCCCCCCCTCCGCCCTGGAAACAAATCGGCCCTTTGAGCTTACTTGACATGGAACGCACTCTGACCAGGATCCCACCGGCCCTCTGGGCGCAGGGGGTATGACGAGTTTGCGCTTCCCCCTTCGAGAAGCTCTGATTCCCCTATTCGAAGAACAACACCCCTGCCCTGGGTCTGGGCGGCGCGGGGGGGCCGAGCGGTCAGAGCTTCCAAGATGGCTCAGAATGGCTCCAACATGGCCCCGGGCACTCCAAGATGGCCCCCAAGATGGCAATGTAGCCGCAAATGGTCCAAGATAGCCTCCCACATACCTCCGACAGGTCCCAAGACGGCGCCAAGTCCCCACGGAGCCACAAAACAGCCCGACTACCTTTACATAAACATCGATGATGTTTGCCTTCTCGCCGTTTTGCTCCCGATTTTGGGGCAGGCGTGTGGCGCATCCCTAAGGTGAGGCTCGGCCGGCAACCCCCGGCGCCGCAAATGTTGGCGATCACGTCCACGATGAACTTCGGCTCCAAGAAGTAGCCCTTGAAGCTCCGCTCGCCGACGCACCAATCGCGCTCGGCCTCTTGATCGCCAGCAACTTGGCCGCGTTGCAAGCCTGGGCCCACGAGAAACTGCCCGGCTGCAGCCCTGTCCCGCTGAGCGCCAGGTCCTGGATTCCCGGCTGCTTGAGGATGCCGCTGCACGGCTTGGCCAGGCCCCTCATCGCTTCCCTCGCGATGCAGCCGCAGACCGTGCAGCAGTGGACTTCCAAGGTCGCGTCGTACTCCGACAGGCGCGCGTCGCGCGCCTTCTGCAAGCCCGCCTGGGCGCCCCGGCGCAGCTTCGCACCGAACGGCGACGCCTCCTTGAGCGCCGGCTCCGCGCGCGGCTCCATCAACCAGGCGCCCGACTTGCGCGTCGGCGCCCTCAAGGTGCACTGCTCGCGCTTAAAGTGCTGCGCGCTCAGGTCCTCGATGATGATCTGCTTTGTTCGCGGCAAGCGGCCTGCGCATCTCAAGCTTCGTCTTCCCCCCCTTCCGCTCCTTGACCGTCGGATGCTGCGACGGCTCCGCCTCCGTCGCCGCCGCGGGCGTCGCGCGCGCCAGTTTGCGGATCTGCGCCGCAACTTCCCCCGCGAACCTGGTCGTCCGCGCCTCGTCTGGGGGGCCTGAACTTCTGCCGCGATGCCCCGCGCGAGTTCGTCGGCGAGGTGGTTGCCCGCAAAGCCGCCCGCGCCGACGCCCGCCTCGACGGCATCCGTCGCCGACACGCGGCCCTCGACCTTCGCGACCGCAATCTCCTTTAGCTTAGCCGCTTCGCGGTGCCGTTTCCGTAGGTCCTTGTGCGTCTTGGGCAACTTCGCCATGCGAATCCGATGCGCTCCTCTGGCAACGTAACTGAAGTCCGTGGTGTACTTGATATTCTCCTGTAGATGCAGGTGCTCAAGCGCCTCGACCATCGCTTCGCGCTCGTAACGGTTGACGCTCTACCGCCAACCAGCCAAACCCCCGCGGCCGCCCATGGTGAACCTGCCGTCGCTCGCCTGCGCTCTGATTACAATCCAGCCCCGCGCGATCCTTCTCGCTCTCGGGGCGTCGGTGGTCTCGCCCCTCGATGCGTCGCCAGCCGCGTGGGCCCGCCCGTTGATGTCCACGCGGGGCTCTCCGACCAGCCCCCGCAGCTCCTCTCCAGGCTCCGGTGGCGGCGCGGCCTGCGCCCCGCTCTTGGCCAAACTGCCGTGGGGCCGCAGGTGCGGCTGGATCTCGACCCCCTCGTCGGCCTTCTCCCCCGAGCGCTTGGACTTCTCGCGCTCGAGGATGATGCCACTGCGCCTGCGGTCTCACATGCGTTGCCCCCGGGTCTCTGGCCCCCCCGCGCACCCGAGGCGCATCGCGCTCCCGATTTCGACCCGCGTGTCGGCGACCCGCTGCCGCGGCCAGATACAGCCAGCGAAGATCGCCCGCGTGGCACCGACCTTATCGAACCTCCCCTGCTTCTTGAGCCTCCTCGGCAAGCCCCTTGCAGAGTGGAGGTCCGCGCCATCCTCCGAGCCCTTCCCCGCGTTGCGCCCGGCCGCCTTGGCCCACTGCTCCTGCTCGATGGCGTCCGCAGGCGCCGCCTTCAGCTCGCCGGCGCCCGCCTCGTCGCCCGGCCGCCCGGTCGCCTTTGAAGACCTCGCCGCTGTCCGACTGCTTGCTCACCTGGGCCCTCGACCCCGTCGATCCTCGCGGTGACGTCGGCGGCCTGCGAGCGCGCGTGCACCTGCGTCAACTTGCCGCTCGCCCTCGCGCGACCCTGCCAGAATCTACCCCCCTCCTGGCGCCCGCGCACATGGACCCCTCGGTCGGGATGGGCTCCGCTATCACTGACGGGCCTGCTGCTCAGGTGGCGGAGCATCTCCAGGTGCCAGGTGCGCGCTGGGAGCCCGAGCCTGACCCCTTCTCCGAAGATCAGCACTGGCTCCGAAACGTCGTAGAACCCCGCCAGGTCCCAGAGCGCCGTGGCCGCGTGGACCTTCCGCGGCGGCCGCTGGGTGACCTTGTCGGCAGAAGCCCGAGCCGGGGCATCCTTTAGCGCGCGCCCCACTTGCTTGCCACCGCCTTCGCCCACTCGCCAGGGTGCTTCCTGCGCACCTTGGACCGTGGCTTCGCTGCCTCTGGTAGGAGCCCGATGGCTCGATCTCCACCAACCTCCTTCCTAGACAGACTCACCGGCGCGATGAGCATGTGCCAGGGCCATGCACCCATGCGCTTGACGCACTCGACCCGCTGCCTCGGCCCCTCGCGCGCGCTGGGAGGCAACCGCTTGAAGGCTGGCGCCGACATTTGCTCCGCGGCCTTCGCCCTGCCCCTCGCCATCGCGTCGATGGCGCCGTCCAGCGCCCCTGCGGTGATGGGCGCCCAGTCCTCCTCCATGGCCGCCTTCCTCGCGCGGTCGAGCACGCTGGACAACTGCGCCCTCGGTGTCGAGCTCGTCCACTCTTTCTTCCGCTGCGCCCCCGCCGCGCCCATGAACTCCGCAACGTCGCGCGTCTCCTTGCCGCCGGCGCGGGCCTCGTCGCCGCGCCTCGGCTGGCCCGCGGCCTTCCGATGCAGCTTCCCTGCGCCAGACGCTTCTTGCTCCGGCGCCCACTTGGCGTAGCCGATCAGCGCCCCCCTACCCTCTGCGCGTTTGCCCTACCTCGCCGTAGCGAGCGCTGCCGCGCCCTGCAACTGCAGCTGCGCGCTGTTCATGGCGTTGATCTCGCTGAGCGCTGTCAGCCATTTCGTCTTCTGCTTTGCGACGTCTTGGCGGTGCCGCCCGTCGGCGTGGTGCTTGCGATGCTTTTGCACTAGCTCTTCAGCATGAGCGCCCTCGGCCACTTTCCATCGCGGCGCCGGAGCTCCGCCGGCCGCGGCGACAAGGCCCCCCGCCGCCTGATGGACTGGCCCCAGTCGGCCCCGACGTCGACCCCAGCTTGACGGCGCCGAGGTTGAAGTTCAGCCCCTCCCCGCGCCCGCGGTGGCGCAGGCGGCCCTTCGGCTCGATCCGCCATGCCGCGGCGTTGAACTGCCCCCCGCGCGCGCCGCGCCGACGCGCCTGCTGCCGAGCTCCCTAGACGCGACATCGTCGAACAGGTGCGCCGCTGTGTCCTTCGCGCGCGTCGGTGGCGCGCGCCGCGACTTGGGGCCCTCGTTTGCCGCCGTCTCGATCTCGACCTGGCATGGCGCGCCCCCCTCGTTTTTTTCGAAGATCTCGTCGGGGCCATGCTTCTCCGCATTCGCCTCCTGAGCCTCGGACTCCACGATGGTGCCCCTGCCCCTCCTCGTCGCTCGTCTCGAACTCGTCGAAGGTCTCCTCTGCGTCAGCCGCCCCCCCCCCCCCCCCCCCCCCCCCCTCCGCAAATCCTGGGCGGCCCCTGGCAACTGACCCTGGGCTCGACCAGCCCTGGCCCTTGAAAGGGCGGATGCTCGGCGCTCGCTGGCCAGCTCCGAGCCCCTCCCCTCGTGGACTGATTGACCTGCTCATCCCTCTTCCCCCGAGACCGCTTGCTCTCGGAGTCGGCCTTTCCGCGCGGGCGCGTTCGGCGAGGGGGGGGGGCTCGGCGAGCACGGGGCCCCGCGCGCCGCCGTCTCCGCGTCAGTTCGCAGGGCGCGCGCGCGCGCGCGCGCTCCGCAATGGCATCCGGGGCCACCCTGATTCGCGCTGGCGCGGTCGAGCAAGACCAGGAGGGACTTCGAGCAAACCGCGTAGTCGAGCATTCTCGCTGGGTTCCGCGCGCGCGACGCCCTTTGGCGCGCGCGCCTCCGCGCCGAGGATGCCGAACCACCCCGCTTTTTTCAATCTGCGCGGCGCCGCGCCGCAGCCCCCCGTCGCTGCCCGCGGCCCGCTGCGGCCCCGAACCAGCGACGCGACCCTCGCCATCTTCTTCGTGTTCTCGCCCCGCATGCCGACGCAAGGCAAGATGCGAGGCGCGCGCCGATGACCGTCGCCGCTTGGCCTTTCCACCTCCACCTCAGCACTGCGACGTCCTGGAAAACTACGGGCCCTGCCCTCGAGTCGCAGTCTAGCAGCCGCGGCCCCGCTGTTCGCGTCGGCTTCGCCCCTGCGCGCCTCGAGCTCGTCGCCGAGTAGCGCGACCTGCCCGCTGCGACGCCCCCCCCCCCCCGCAAGATCGTTGCGCTTGCCCGACTCTGCTGGCGCCGCTGCCGCCTTCCAACCACGCGCGCCCATGAATTGCAATATCTCGTCGCCGCCCGGGCTGCGCGCGTGCGCCTCGGGAAAAAACCGCCAACTCGTCCATCAAATTGTCGAGGTCCCCCTTGAGCCTAGGGCCCCGCGTAAAATGGTTCGGCGCGAATGCGGCGCTGCTACCCACCTCGCGGCTGGATGCCTCTCCGGTCGCGGCCCTTTGCTGGCAGCGCCGCGGCAGCCGTTGCATCCTTCCCCATTCCGCAATTTACCCCCCTCGCACGCGCTGCCACCTGCGGCACCACCCGCGGGCGCAGCCTCGCTTGCCGACGAGGTGGCCGCCGCCGATGCCGCTGGCGCGGGTGCTCCTTCGTGCCGACGCTTCTCCTGCTGCCGCCCCCTCGCCCCGCGGCTACGCTTTCTCGACCTTCCTCTTCTCCCGCTGCCGAAGCTCGTCGAGCCGCGCCTGCCGCGCCGGCTTCTGCTCCATGAGCTTCTCCGCCGCTGGTGGGGGGGCCTGCGCGGCCGCCGCCTTCCCTTCCACGGCAAAATTGGCCTTGCGCTGCCCCGGCCCCTCGACATCCTCTGCCGCGACCGCGCTCTCGCAGTCGCCCAGGTCGAAGAGCCCCCCCATGTCACCTCCAAGTCGTCGTCGCCAAGCCACGTCGCGATGGGGGGCATGGGCCTGCCTCCTCCAACTTCGCGCGCTGCGTGAGCCCCGAGGGGGCGATGCCGTAGCTCGTCCTCGACGCGATCCTCCGCCTGCAAGACCTCCGCCGAGCGGCCCGTGAAGTCCTTCTCCGCGTGCTCGAGCTCTGAGTGAAGCCTCCCTCGACGGCGGCATGCGTTCTGCTGCTCGCGCGAGGCCTTCAGCGCAGCGTCCTCTGTTGTTCGATGTGCAGCTCGTGGCCAGGGATGGGTCGTTGATCTCAGCCTCCTGCAGGTTGCGGCGCCAAGATGTTGATAACCTCTTCGATGCGTTTCTTGTCGCCCCTTGTGCTGAGCCGCGCCGCCACCTCGAGCGCTTGGATGGAGGTACCAGGGTGCTTCTCTCGCATGTTGCTGTGGTAGCAGCTGCTGCAACTGCCAGGCTCGCTGTCTCTTAGAGCCGTTGATCTCCACCCCGTGCCACCACACTTGCTTTTGTAGACTACATCCGCCAGTCGATCCGCCCCCACTTACCACACTTGTCGTTCTGGCAGAAGGCCTTGGTCTCGCCGCCCCTGCTCCCATTGCCCCAGCTCCTGGGTCTGGCCTGCGTCCGCCCACCGCCGCTGCCGTAACTGTCGACGCACAGCGCGGCAGCTGGGCCCAAGGTTGGCGACGCCATGGACGCCGAACTCCACCGCGCTGTTTTTTTTTTTCTGCCCGGGCAGAACACCTGGGCGACACAGCCCGAAAGGAGGTGCCCAAGGTGCCTGCATGAATTCACATGCAGCCGGACGTCGCAACATGTACGGCGGCACAGACCCGCCCCAGGCGTACATCTGCGCCGCCCTTGCGAGGCGCCTCGAGATGCCACCCCGGGACACGGCCACTGGCACCACCCCCACTTGGCCGCCGGCCTCAAGCAGCGGAGGCCCCGCTGCCCAAGGACTTAAGTTCCCGCGCCCCCCACGTCGGGGGACCCCTTCGAGTAACCTCATCGGGCCTTTCAGGAGTGGTATGGCGGGCCCGCACCTACTGTGGCTGGCCAGCCACAGCGCAACAGTCTCTCCCACAGCCTCGTCGAGCTGTGGCGACGATCGGGCTGCCAACCCGCCTGTTTTCCTGGAAAGCCACGAGTCCACCTCACTGATTGCCTCCGCCACCGCAACCACCGCAATCACCGCCTGTGCCGTCGCCACTGCCCAGCCCAGAAAAAAACGGGTGACATGGCCAGGCTGCGCGGCAAGATATTAAGGATATGGAATGAAGCCGAGGCTTCGATGTGGAGAGCACTGAAAAGCTGGCCCTCGGCGCCAGAAGGGCCCTACCGCTCGAAACGCCCAGGGGACTCGCGGTCTCGAATCCTCATCGCCCTTGAGCCAAATTGACAACGGAGCTGTTTCATGTTTCGATGTGCCCCTGAAGCCTCAAGATGGCCCCAAGATGGCCCACGAGAGACTAAAGAGGAGCCCAGACGGGCCCCATGACGGCCCAGGAGGCCCCCAAGAGGCTCCCAAGAGCGCTCGAAAAGGCAGTTTGTCGGTTTCCAAACAAGGCGACTCGAGAAGTGAGCCCCCTGCGGTTCCCCCCCTTTTTGGAATCATGGGGCCCAAGATCGCCCCAACGAGGCCCAAATATACCCCCACAAGAGCCCTAAGATGACCCCAAGAGACCCCAAGAGGCCCCAACCGGACCCCAAGCTAAGACAACTTGTCTGGGCATCGTTTCTGGATGCGCTGGTGGGGATACCCGAAACGCGAAGAATTTCGAACGGGGCCCATCCGTGCCAACGAGGAACCCAATGAGGCTCCAAAGTGGAAAGCAACGCCCAAAAAACGTGCAACGTCGATCCCAGAACTCCTCGGTTCCAGGGGCCGCAACGTGTGCACCTGGAGATCTCGACGCCTCCCCTTGGGTCGTTTTGTGATGGCCCCATGGCCAGGCAATGGCCAGCGCCGAACATTGACAAACATCGTTCGCCACGACGCGAGGGGGGAGGACTCCTTTTCCGGACCCCCCAACGCTCGCAGAAGATCCCGAATTCACCCACCATCGTCCAACAACCTTGCCGATCATCGACACCCGAACCTCGACCCTGGGAATTTCCTGGGACCCGTAGACGGGGAATTTGAATCATCAGTACGTTGGCGCGCCTGAGACACTGTAGAAGTGGGAGGAACCATTCTCAAATCTCCGTTGCCCCCAAGTGGATCTTCCGAAACCATGGTCTGCAAAGTCCTGGCTTGCGGGGCCCTGAGGTCTGGCAGCTGTCGGAAGCCAGGCGCACCCCCAGAACGCCCCGCATCGTCCACAAAAATATCCCCGACCATCGCCACCCAAACCTCGATCATCAGGAGGATCGGGTCGGACGAAGGGGAGGGGGTCGGAAAAGGAAGCCTTGCGAATCGGCTCACACAATTTGCCAAGTTTCACGGCGCCTCCCGCCAGAGGTTCCAACGTATCGAGTACAGGGCGTGGCAGCGGGGCGGCGGGAACCAGCTGCATGCAGCAGACCTCGTGCTTTCCCCATCACCCCTTTCGCGCGGGGCAACCACAAAAGGGAGAGTGGCACAGAGGGGAAGAAGCCACAATCGGCGATACATCTACGAAAAATCGGCGATAGGCCCCCGATAGCGAAACCGCACGTCTCTGGCAGGGCGGGGTGGGCTATCGGGCCCCTGGCGATGAATGGATGATTGGGGGCCGATGCGTACCCCCTGGGCCTATCCCCCCCCGCACGTTGCCCCTGTTTCGGGGATGGACAGACCCCCCTTTAGCAAAACGTGGTTTAGTGAAAACGACCTGAGGCCTAATCCTGGCAGGCGCAAGCCTGAAAAATGACGGCCACGGCGCCCTATCGAGAACCGAAAACGGACAATTCACTAATCGACGTGTCACTGTTGGGGGTTCTGTCCACCCCCAACAGTGACACGTCGATTGGCGTCGATCGCCGATGCATCGGCGATGCATCGGCGACGTCGGCGATGTATCGCCGACGTCGGCGTGGAGAAACTCGGGCTCGGCATCGAGCCGCATCGTCGATGCATCGGCGATGCGGCGCGAGCCTCCGACCCCACCCACTCGGACCCCATCCAGGAAGCCTAGACTGTTCTCGTCCGACCCGAGAAGAATGCCAGCAGCGGACAGAGAGCCCGGGATCGCCCAGGCCTAGACTGTTCTCGTCCGACCCGAGATTATGCCAGCAGCGGACAGAGCCCGGGATCGCCCAGGCCTAGACTGTTCTCGTCCGACCCGAGAAGGTGCCAGCAGCGGACAGAGCCCGGGCTCGCCCGGGCCGCCCGCCCCGCCCCGCCCCGCCGAGGAGCGGAGCGCCCCCCGCCGCGCGCCCGCGCGGCGAAGGCCGCTCCGGCGTCGGTCGTCAGTCGCTCGCCGCCCGTCGTCGCCGGCCGTCAGTCGATTGCCGCCCGTCGTCGTCGTCGTCGTCGTCGTCGTCGTCGTCGTCGTCGTCGTCGTCGTCGCCGCCGCCGCCGCCTCCGCCGCCACCGCCGTCGTCCGTCGTCGTCCGTCGTCCGTCGTCCGTCGTCGCTGGTCGGTCGTCCGTCGCCGTCGAGGACGGTCGGTCGTGGTCGTTGCCGGCCGCAGTCTATTGTCGTCGGTCGTCGGTCACCGTCGATGACGGTCGGACGCCGTCGTTGCCGATGGCGGTGGACGTCGCCGTCGTCCGTCGTCGTCGGCGACGACGTCGTCATCACCGTCGTATTCGCCATCGTCGTCGTCGCCGCCGTTGTCGCCGACGATGGTCGGTCGCTGATCGCCGTCGCCGCAAAATCTCCAGCGGGTTGGGTTTCTCAGCCTGTGGGCGCCATAGCTCTCGAATGCCGGTCTTCGCCCTCGGCGGTCGAAGATCGATGGTATGGTAAGTTCCTGGCGCTGGAACTTCGGACTCTCGAAGACATCTCCTGCTCTGGGGACGATTTGTGTTAGGACGACTGCTAAATGGTACAGATTTGAAATCATCGTTCATGCTAAATCTGGTATCATCTGCGGAGCATTTCTGACGAGCAACAAGTGTAAACATGCCCAAACAAATCGTCAATATTCAAATATAGTCAAATGGAACTTCGGCTTTCCGTCCCAAGTAGTTTTTCATCTGGCCCTGGGGCCCAAGAAGCGGGCCCCGATGCCCGAGATCGAGGGCTCGCGCCAGGATTCAGAGAACCAGTCCGCCAGAGGTCCGGGGTCGGGGCACGCTGGGAAGGGGGCGTCCGCTCTTGCCGACATGGACCCCTTCGACCAGACTCCTGTGGGCCATGGGCTGAGGTCGGGCGCGGGCATGGGCTCCCTCCGATCTCCCCCGTTCTCCTCCTCCTCCTCCTCCTCCTCCTCCTCCTCCTCCTCCTCCTCTTGTCATTATTATCCTTCTGGTTCTCCTGCCCTTCATTCTCCCTCGTACGCTTCCAAGCTTTGGTCCACCTGGGCGTTGGCAGGCTGGCGGATGCTGAACCCAGTGCGGCCATTTCCGAAGTGTTTCCGTGGCTGTGCCAGCTGACTCGACCCCAGCCGAAGGGCAGCCCGCGCAAGTGTGTGGCTTTTGGTCACCACCAGCCTGGACGCCGAGCCCCCACTCTCCCCTCCTCCACCTCCTCCTCCTCCTCCTCCTCCTCGTCCTCCTCGTCTTCCTCCTTCTCCTCCTCCTCCTACTCCTCCTCCTCTCCCTCCTCCTCCCCATCCTCCCCCCCCCCCCTCCTTAGGTTTCGCCTAAAGGAGTTCGAAGAGAGCGGACAGTGAGCATGGAGGAGAATCGACGTGCCGCACTGCCAATCCTTGCCTTTTGTTGCTCTTTTCCTCCATCATACTCCTCCTCGTCCACTTTCGCCTGAAGAGGAAGAGGAATATTGGGGAGGGGACGTAGAGTAGGTTCACCCTGCTACGCTGCAATTCATTGTTATGTACTATGTGCGATACATCATTCGGGTATTGAAGTGCCTGCACGTGCGTCGAAACTAATATTCACCAGTCTGGCAGCCGTCCAGGGTTTCGAACGTCTCGCGGTCGGCTCTGGCGTGACACCTTCAGAGAACAATATCCAATACGAATGTGGACCGGAATCCGAGCACATCCAAGATACTGGGATGCCGACTCCTTCAACCGTCAAGCAGATGTTGCCATCAAGTGGCACAACAGTACTATCCCATATATCGTTTCAGAAAGTCGGGGGACTTGGTTGTCAATGATTAATGTTGGCATTGGCCGACGACACGACAAATAGTACAAGGCATCCGAAAACGTCGTGGGCAGAAAGGGTGCCAATGATGCGTTTTCGAAACTCGCAAACTACATCGTTCGATCGTCGCTCATATTTCCCAACCATCCTGTGGTGTTGGTTTCTCGTTTTGGTCAGCACAAGCCCCGCGTCCTCACGTCACCTCCTCCTCACCACCCTACCACAGCTCGCATGCGTGACTGCGCCAAGTTCGGCGCACCCTCACACGTTTCGTGGTCCCACAGGGAGCCCCACCGAAGGCCCCAGTGGCAGAGCTCCCATGCGTGATTGCGCCCATGTCGGCACACCCTTCACGAGGATCTTTGCGCCATAGGGAGCTCCACCGACGGTCCCAATGGCAAGGTTCGCATGCGTGGCCGTGCCCATTTCGGCACACCCTTCGCGAGGATCGTTGCTCCATAGTGAGCCCCACCGAAGGCCCCAGTGGTAGGGTTCGAATGTGTGACTGCGCCCATTTCGGCACACCCTTCACGAGGATCGTGGCCCCGTAGGGGGCTCCGCCGAAGGCGCCAGTGGCAGGGCTCGCATGCGTGTCTGCGCCCACTTCGGCGAACCCCTTACGAGGACCGTGGCCCCATAGGGAGCTCCACCGAAAGCCCCAGTCGCAGGGCTCGCATGCGTGACTGCATCCACTTGGGCATATCGCACACGAGGATCGTCGCTCCATGTTGAGCCCCACCAAATGATCCCAACGGCAGGACTCGCATGCGTGACGGTGCCGATTTCGGCACACCCTTCACATGGATCGCAATTCCAGACGCCCCTGACGAGGATCGTGGACCCATAAGGGGCTCCACCGAAGGTCCCAGCTGCAGGGCTCGCATGCGTGACCGCGCCAAATTCCAGTTCGCACACCTCTCACGAGCACCGCGGCCCCATAAGAGCTTTGCCGAAGGACCCACTCGCTGGACTCGCACTCGACACCGCGCCAATTTCGGCACACCCCTCACGAGGATCGTTGCCCCATAAGGGGAGTTCCATAAAAAAAACGGTGACAGGACTCGCACGCATGACCGCGCTCATCTCGGCACACCCATCACATGGATCGCAGCCCCAGAAGGAGCTCCGCAAACTGCCCCCTATGGCAGGGCTCTCATGAGTGACCGCGCCGATTTGAGCACGCTCCTGACGAGGATGGTGGGCCCAAAGGGAGCTCCACCGAAAGCCTCAGTGGCAGGGCTCGCATGCGTGACTGCACCCATTTCGGCACACCCTTCACGAGGATTGTTGCTCCACATGGAGCCCCACCGAAGGCCCCAGTGGCAACGCTCCCATGCGTGACTGCGCCCATTTCGGCACACCCCTCACATGGATCGCAGCCCTATAAGGAGCTCCGCCAATTGCCCACAATGGCAGGGCTCTCATTAGTGACTGCGCCCATTTGAGCACGCTCCTGACGAGGATGGTAGGCCCATAGCGAGCTCCACAGAAAGCCCCAGTAGCAAGGCTCGCATGCGTGACTGCACCCATTTCGGCGCACCACTCATGAGGATCGTGACCTCATGGGATGCTCCACCGAAGGCTCGCATGGGTGATTGCGCCCACTTCGGGATTCCCCTGGCACGTTTCGCCGGGAGCTTCACCAAAGCGCGCGAGACCAAGCAACGCTGGCAGACGCGCAGACTAACCGTTACGGCTGACCTCTGCGACACCACATCGTCGCTTCGTCATTTGCACCCGCGCCCTGGTCATTTTGCTCGGCCCTTCCTCAATTTCCGGATGTCTTAGGGGTACTCGCGCCTGCATGTAGTTAGGTTCTTCGTCAGGCTATGTTGCTGTTGGGGTGGCTCGCAGCCCCAGAGAGTGTCTGTCTGTTGCCCATGTTCGATTACACCTGAGGCAACATGAACGGAGGAGGTGGAGCATGGCGAGATCCAAGTCACCACCTTACACCTCCCCAAGCGCCTCGTTAACGAGGCAAGCGGGGGCGGAGCGGTTGAGCAGCCACCTTTGGCGACTGCAGGCTGGCAGACTGACAGCAAAACGGACCGGTTCGATAAGAGCCTGGGCTTCCCCGAGGGAGATAGGAACCTGAGAGGAGCGGGAGGCAATGCGACCAGAATTGGAATGAGCGACCAATAATTCAGCAGAACGCTGGGTGCCCAAGAAACTCTGTAGGAAAAGCCGATCCATGGGAATCCAGGTTCCCAAAGCCAAACTTGCAACCGACTTCATCCTATAGCGATTCAGATCCGAATGTGGTACAGTATCAGAGGCAGCTGGACACACACACACACACACTTGCAACGAGTTCGTTATCTGCATTCGAACGCCGATGTTCCACGCGCCCAACCAGGTCCTGAGAACAACCTGGGCCCGGCTGGGAGGAACCGTTTGACGGAAGGCCTCTGGCCTCCCGGAGGCCATCGCCCCACTCACACTGAGGCACGAAACGATGACGCACCCGAGCTCGCGCCATGCAGCAAGAACGCAGGAGGAGAAGAAGGAGGGGGAGGACGAGGAAGAGGAGGAGAAGGAGGAGGAGGAGGAGGAGAAGGAGGAGGAGGAGGAGAAGGAGGAAGAGGGGGAGTAGGAGGAGGAGAAGGAGGAGGAGGGGGAGGACGAGGAGGAGGAGGAGGGGGAGGACGAGGAAGAATAGTCCATTGCCGGCAGCAGATGTGACTGGGCAGCCTCGTGGATCGTTCCATGGCGTGGCGACCTCGGAGTCCCCAACGACCTCACCGCGCGGTCCGTCACCGCACGGTTTCGGGACCCTGGAGGCCCCAGTCGCCCGAGACGCCCTCGGAGAACGATCCGAGTCCCAGAGCCGTGCCGTGAACCCGAATCCCCACCGACTCGCCACGCGGTGTAGTCACCACACTGCCTGGGGGCCCCCGAACGAGACACCCCATCGGCACCTCCCGGGTCCCGCGCCGGGCTCCAGCCGCTCAAGTAGCTCCCAAGCCTGGGACAGCGGAGGGCGGCAAAAGGGGGCATCGGCCACATGCGGCTACCCGGGCCAGCCAGAGGGGATTGGCTGACCCCGGTCAGCGCTGACCCGCGCTGCGGTCAGGAAATGTTGGACAGCCTGGGACAGCGGAGGGCGGAAAAGGGGGCATTGGCCACATGCGGCTACCCGGGCCAGCCAGAGGGGATTGGCTGACCCCTGTCAGCGCTGAGCCCGCGCTGCGGTCAGGAAATGTTGGACAGCCTGGGACAGCGGAGGGCGGCAAAAGGGGGCATCGGCCACATGCGGCTACCCGGGCCAACCAGAGGGGATTGGCTGACCCCGGTCAGCGCTGGCCCGCGCTGCGGTCAGGAAACGTTGGACAGCGCGTCGCTGCGGCGGCCTCGGCGACACGCCATGCTCCGCGAGCGGCCCGCGCGTGGCTCCGCTCCGCGGGGCAGGGGGCTCGGGAAGGCTCGGGACGTGGACGCTTGGGGACAGGGAAGTGGATAGCGTGTCGCTCCGAGGCGCGGCGGTCCACAACCGGCGGAGCGATACGCCAAGCCAGAGTCGCTGACCGCACGTGAGCCCCATCAACTTGGGCGTTGCTGAATTGGGGGCGGAGAAGCGAGCACCTGCCATGCCCTTTCTCGACCCCAGGGTGCCCCTTCAGGGCCCCCCAAGGTGCACCTTTCTTCAACCCCTCATGCTTCTGAGTCGAGCATCGTGGGATGGTAGGATTGGCTCAGGACACGCTCCAAGGTCTCCAGAATGTCTAGCAGCCCTCGTTTCTGGAGCCTGTGCGAAACGCTAGTGGACCCTGGACATTCTGGGAGTCTGGGGAGAATCCAGACATACCTATACGACCACACTTCGGGTGATAAGGAGGTTGTGTGGGGGGGAGAGAGAGAGAGAGAGAGAGAGGGGGGAACCAACATCTGACTCAATCGATCTATCGATCTCACACAACGGAATACCACGGGACACCACGGGACACTTGTCGATCTCACTATCGATCTCACTATCGATCTCACTCAACGGGTCACCACGGGACACCACGGGACACCCGCGGGACACCGGCGGGACACCGCGGAACACCTCTCGATCTCGCTATCGGTCTCACTATCGATCTCACTAGCAATCTCACTCAACGGGACACCATAGGACACCACGGGACACCACGGGACACCTCGGGACACCACATCGATTTCACTATCGATCTCACTCAACGGGACACTACGGGACGCCACGGGACACCACGGAACACCTGTCGATCTCAGTATCGATATGAGTATCGATCTCGCTTTTTGGGACACCACGGGACACCTCGGGCACCACATCGATCTCAGTATCGATCTCCGTATCGATCCCACTATCGATCTCACTCAACGGGACACCACGGGACACCTGTCGATCTCAGTATCGATCTCACTATCGATCTCACTTTTTGGGACACCACGGGACACCTCGGGGTACCACATCGGTCTCACTATCGATCTCACTATCGATCTCACAACGGGACACCACGGGACGCCATGGGACACCACGGAACACCTGTCGATCTCAGCATCGATCTCAGTATCGATCTCAATTTCGATCTCATTCAACGGGACACCACGGGACACCACGGGTCACCCGCAGGACACCGGCGGGACACCGCGGGGCACCGGCCGCCGGAGGAGTTACATTTGGTCCGGCCGCGGCCCAGCCACAGGAGGAATTCCTTTCGCCCGCCCACGCAGCTTCGCCTCGCCCGCACGCACGCACGGCACGCACGACACGTACCCGACCCCGAAATCGATGTCCCGGCAGGGGGGGGTCTCCGTTTCACGTCGGACCCACCCCCCCACCTTCGATGTCATTATCATGACCTCGCGCTCCTCTGTGTATCGCTCCCTTCCCCCCATGACACCGCCCAGCCACCGCTGGACGGGAACGGACTTTCGCTCCTACTTCGGCCTAGCTGCAGGAGGATCACGCGCAGCTTCGCCTCGCCCGCACGCGCGACACGAACACGAAACCGAAACCGATGTCCCGGTGGGGGGTCTCCGTTCCACTGCGATCTCACCCCCCAAATCTCCGATCATGACCTCGCGCTCCTCTGTGTATCGCTCCCCTCCCCCCACGACACAGCGCCCGACCATCCACACCCGCCTGGTGCCGCGCCAGGCCCCGCCCCGGCTCCTTGCGGGAGGCAGCCGCAGGGCACCTGCGCCCCCTGGCGCGGCCGCCTCGCGCTGCTCATCGCCGCGCCGGCCTGGCGGGCGCGGCGCCAACGTCTGAGGAGGGCAGGGGTGAGGGGGCCCTGGGGCACACGCAAATAAGATGATTCCCCCTATGCTCCTATGTCTTCTGGGGCTCTGTCTTCCCCCCCACTTCCCATGGTTCCCTCTATAATGTGCTGGGGAATCGGGGCTTCATTGTGTCTGTGCGTTTTTTCTCCTCCTGAGGGGAGGGCGGTGGGGGAGCTCTGGGGGGGAGCGCTTGACACGTGCGCGGAGCTGCGCTGTCGATGCCGCGGCCTTCCTGTGACTCCGCTGCCTGCCTGCCGTGTGGACGCACGCCGCCGGAGGCGCGGGGGAGGAGCTCGAGGGAGCCGTCCAGCAGGGGGCAGGGCGGGGGGGAGCTCTGGCGGGGAGAGCACCGCGCCTGTGCCTGCCTCCTCCCCACCGCCCTGCCAGAATTCCTGCATTGAGCACCCCCCTCCTGTCGCCCCCCCCCCCCCCCCCCGAGCAGGGGGAGCCAACGTGCCCCGAGGCTCGCAGCTCGGACCCGTCGGGGGTGAGCCTGCGGGCAGCTCGGGCAGGCAAGGCAAAGCGAGCAGGCCTTGGCATCGCACTCCGAAAACGAGCCTCGGGGGAGAGCACCGCATCTGTCCCTCCCTCCTTCTCACCGCCTTGCCCCTCCCTGCATTGAATCCCCTCCCTCCTGCCCGCCGACGAGCGGGGGCACTGGGGATGTGGTGGGCAGGGTGCTCGGGGGGAGGAGGGCAACGATGGGAAGGCATCACGCGGACCCCATGGCTACACTGCCCAGCTTACTCTTCCTCTCTCTCTCTCTCTGTCTCTGTCTCTGTCTCTATCTCTCTTTCTCGCCCTTTATCTCCTACTTATTGTCATTATGATTATTATTATGATGATTCGTATCATCATGATTATGCGTCTTCTTTTTCGTATCCTGAAGTCTCATAGGGCCGACGGGCCAGAGCAATCTGCATAGCCTGCATGGATCCCCCGAAGTTCTTGCGATGCCCTCCGAGGTCCGCTGGGTGTTCCGAAAGCCCCCCCCCGTGGAGCCCCCCAAGGCCACGCGAGAGGCCCGAAACTCACCCCACGAGCGCTGCCGCCACTTCCTCCCCGGCCGATGTGAGCGAGCGAACGCGTGGGATACTCCGTGGGCCACAGGTCCCCGCCAAGGGAGCAAGGAGCAGGATGGACTTCAGGGCGAAGCGTGCGTGAGGGCGACATGGAGGCGGAGGAGGAGGGGGCAGGAGGAGGAGGAGAAGGATGTCGAGGGGGGAGGACGGCGGAGGAACGGCCGAGACGCAGGCCACGCCCGGCGGAACCTCAGACTGGGACACCCGTGCTGAAGTGTGATACGATCGTGTGTGTGGCCTTGGGGGGCAGGCGTCGCAGGACGGGCGCGGGTCGACAGACGCCGGGCGTGTGACGGGGCCGCTCCAGAACTATCGACGTTCTCCGCCTCAGCATCCCCCTCCTCGACGGTAGAGGTTCTTGAGAACACTGTTTTGGCCCTCTTCCCGAGGGCACGAAGCGCGTGCTGGTGTCAGACCGTGCGGACGGGGCATCCGCATGCGGAACGCCGCGCGCGACTGCGCTCGCCGCCGCGCCACCACGATGGGACTCTCGCCTGGTCACGCGTCTGGATCCGGATGAAACGTGAGGAACGAACACATACGACTACAAACCTCCTGCCCATCCGCTACCCTCCTCTCGCCTCCTATTCCGACTCCGTGTCTCCCCAACCATCGCCCGCCGAGCTGGGAATGAGCCACACATGAGACGCAACACTCATATACATTAGAGAGCTCAAAGGCACGCTGGATCACGCATGTCAGAGAGGAGAGACAAAACCGAAACAATCGGAAGAACTCTTGAACACGCTTTCTGCGCATGGCATGTGTCCGCTCTTGCCACTAAAACTGCACAAACTACCTTGTATGTGTCACCCCAAATGGTTTTCGTCTTGAGAGCCCACCTGTTTACACTGGTGCGCAAATTTGCACGCGTGCGCAAGTGTGAATACGTAGACTCTCCACACTCATTTGTCTCAAGCGAGGTAGCCACATCCATCACGCTTCAACGTTGGAAAGCAGAACGTGCGAACACTCGCACTAAGCATTAATTCGCTGTGAGATGTAAAACAAAGCGAGCTGGATTGAACCTCTCTCAGCGGCGATCTTCCGCAGCTAGAAGGTGGCAGTCCGACCTCCCAGAGGAGCACAATGACAGAGGGTGCACATGGCACACCTCACCATGTGACCATAATCTCACAGCCGATCAAACTGACAGACGCAAGATCAGACTCCATGCCTGCTGATTCCAACCGATTCGAAGACCTGGTGGTCGCAAGGCTGATCTTGCTTAGCTCGGTTGTCCTTAACCACGCGTAGCCAAACGTTATAAGACTATTCACAACTAGCCCAGAACTGCCTCGAGAATATCCGGCCAACATGCAACCCGAGGTCTGGAACCAAACAGAACAGAACATAGCTCCACTCCCTGCTTGGAGTGGTCCCCTGCTTGAGCGGTCCCCCGACGTACACCGTCCGCTCCCTGCTTGGAGCGGTCCCCTGCTGGCAGTCAACAGATAATAATTGGGCAAATGACTGGTGGTGAAACGTGAAACGGATCCAGCGCAATAATTACTCATCACCCCATCTCTTGACAAGCCTGCCTGATCGCCTGCAAGCATGCGTTCGGAATTTTGGGTTCCGTAACAGTCTCTTTGACCAAATGGCCTGGGCGTTCGAAACCGCGCGATCAGAGAAGACCCGCCGGGGCCGTTCTTGATGTTCTCCCCCGCTCTCGTGCCATAGATTTCGGTAAGACCAGCCGTGTTGATTTCCAGATGTAATAAAGTCACGACTCGTCGGAGCGACGCGGGGCCAGTACAATTTTCCGAAGCATCTTCTTCCATATCGACTGCAAGGCTGATAAGGTGCTTGGCCAAATTGTAAAACATGAACGGGCGACCACGGTCGGCGTGGCACCTGCGTGGGAAAGTCTCAACCGAACTGGCAGTCGATATCTGCGCGAACACAAATCCACATATCTGGACTAATCCGGCATTGCACTAAGCAGTCAGTGCAGAACGACGGGCCTGGGACCAGAGAGTCTAGAAACTCAACCGAACGTGGAGCGAACAATGCGCGAACCGCTATCGTAAACATGTTCCGCTGAAACGGGCAAACGTCCAGACTTTACAGATGCCCAGCTTCGAAATATCCACGGGGCAACGACGGCGATCTCCCTTCGGAGGCGAGCTCCGTTTGCATGCGCAGAGGTTTCGTTGGTTTTATCATCTTGTTCGCCGATGCATCGAACATTGACCACTTCGTGAAGGGCAACTGTTGACATTCGGAGCGATCTGCGCAGTAGACTTCGTAGCATCACACCAAGACTGAAAGGAAACCACGTTTACCGGCGTAGGCCCCAAATACTCTGCCGACCCCGCTTGCAGGGAGTGGGAAGGCGTGTGAAATGATTGGCTGTCCCCCTCCCCCTTTCCCCCCTTCCCTGGGACCCAAGATCACATTAGAGGGGGGGGGGGAGCGGGGGGGGGGAGCGGGGGGACACGAGCTCGCCAACGCACCCTGGGGGCGCTCTCCGGAGCCTCCAGGGAGCCCTAAGACGGTCCAATGAGCGCCGAGAGAATCCAAGGGAGCGTATAGAGACGTCCTAGGGAAACCCCGCGACGGTCCAAGATGGCTTCAAGACAGCCTACGAGGTCCCCACGACGGCCCAGGAGTGCTCCCAGAGGGCCGCCGAGGGGGCCCCAAGAAGCATCAATCGTCTCATGCCCATAAGAAAGGCGTACATGTTCTACATGCACGCCTTTTCTGTCTTGGCAGCGTCCACTATGGCCCGAGGAGCCCCCAAGATAGTCCCAAGACGGCCCATGAGAACCCCAAGAGGCTACCAAAAACGCCCCAAGGAAGCCCCGAGAGGGCCCAAGAGGGCCCCAAGACTGCCGCAGGGTCCCCCGAGACGGCCCAGGAGGGCCCCAAGAGGTGCAATGCGAACTGACGTCCCGAGCCCTTCCCGCCGTGGTGGCCCCAAGAGCCCCCCAGTGCCCCCCGGGGAGGCCCCCGTGCGGCACCAAGAGGCTTCCAAGAGGCGCTCAAGACGCAACCAAGAGGCCCCCGAGAGGCTCCCCCAGACCGACCAGATGCTCCCGAAAGGCTCCCAGGAGGCCCCCGAGAGGCATTTCAGGAGGCCCTCATGTGCACCCGAGGCTCCTGACCCACAGGCCGGGCACGGTGGCACGACTCCTGACGAGTTCACCGCTGCGGGGGGTCGGCGGAATGGCGTGAGCCTCTTGAGTAACTTACTGCGCTCTGGAATGGTACACTACGCGGTGCGAGCTACATGGTGCAAGTTCTGCGGTGCAAGTTCTGCGGTGCAAGTTCTGCGGTGCAAGCTGTGGGGTGCAAGCAGTGTGATGTAAGCTGTGTGGTGCGAGCTATGTGGCATAAGCTACGCGGTGCAATCTCTACGCGCTGTGAGCTTTGCGCTGCAAGCCACGTGGCGGAAACGATGTGGGGGGCAAGCTCTGTGGTGCAAGCCGTGTGGCCAACGCCGCGTGCGGTGGTGCAAGCGGGGTGGTGCAAGCTGTGAGGTGCCAGCTGCGCGGTGCAAGCTGCGTGGCGCAAGGACGACGTGGTAGCGAGGTGAGACCTTCGCGGTGCACGCCCACGGAGCGCAGGCGGAGGACGAGGAGGAGGAGGAGGAGGAGGAAGAGAAGGAGGAAGAGGAGGAGGAGGAGGAGGAGGAGGAGGAGGAGGACGAGGTGGAAAGAAATGCCCACGAAGCGCCCAGGGGCGGGCGCGCCGCGGTGAAGCCACGGCCCGCATAGCCGGCGTTGAAGTGCGGCGCGCGCGCGCGCCCACGAGACGCCCACGGCGAGGCACGACGCGGCGCAAACCCCGACCGACCTATCCGTCGGGCTACCCAGGAGCCCAACGAGGGACCCGACATGCAAACGCTGCATTAGTCGGCGGTGGACAAACCTCCCTTTAGTAGACCTCCCCTTAGTGAAAACGGCCTGGGACCGAAATCGACGGACCTGGACCCGCAAAAATGACGGCCGCGACGCCCTCTCGCGAACCGACAACGGCCAATTCCTGAATCGACGTGTCAGGGTAGGAGGTCTGTCCAACCCCGAATTAGGGGAACATGGGGGGCGGGCACAACAAAACCTGAGATCGAGATCGGCTGGAACGCCACCTCCCCCTCTGCCTCCGCTTCGCCTGGCTCCATCGGCCGGGGAAGCTGTTCCGCTTTTGCTTCGGCCTGCCCGCGCTGGAGTATGCTGGCTTCCGCCAGGCTAAAATATCAGCACGTCACCCAGCATGATAAGAAACCGTTTCTGCAAGGGTCCGAATGGTATGACGGTGTACGAGGGACTGCATACCACAAGTCTGCATGACGAGTTTCACCCAGAAGATACCTGGGAAAAGAACACTGGGATGCATGGCCAGCAGCATTGACATGCCTCCATGTGTGATGAGCTGGTCGAGGGCACTCCGACCTATGTGACCCTAATCTCCTAGCATGTGCCGCCCATGGAACAACGCTTGTTCACATAGTGTCCCATGGGCACCTTGTGGAGACCGCACGTTGGCCTAAGACCGCGACCTTCGAAACACAATCGCTGAATCAACCCGAAAGAACCCCAACAGTGCCTGGACCGTAGTCTTTTTTTGTAGACCACCCAGGAAGCGAGGGCAAGCGAGTGGGGAGAAGTTTCTCGATAGGGTGGCCGGCAGGCTACTCTGGTGGGGCTGGCTTGAGGGGGCGCTTCTGAATCCACGTGCTCTGGGCTGGGCTGACTGGTCGGGCTGGCTGGCCGGGCCGGCTGGGCAAGGACAGCGCAGCTGCAGGGCCGCCGAGGCCACCGGCGGCTCCAGTCTGAAGAAGCAGGCGCGGGAGATGCCTGCAGAACTGGAGCCAGCCAAGCTGGCTATGACTACCTACCAAACCACCCCAACCCAACCCGAAGACCCGAATTTCGGGTTGGGGGGGGTACGGGCTTCATGTGTGTTTTCTCGACGTTCCCCGACCCCCCCCAACTGGAAATGGAGGGCAAATTCGGGCCTTCGGGTTGGGTTGGGGTGGTTTGGTGGGTGGTGAGGCTAGGCTGCGGTGGGTCCGGCTGGGTTGCCCACACCACGCGGAGCTGGCTGCGCCGCTTCTGTTGGCAGGGCCCGGCTTTTTTGCCAGTTGAGCTGGCAGGGCTGGCTGGGCCCAGCCACGCCGGCCGAGCTGGGGGGGCTGGCTGAAGGGCCTCGCCAGGCTGGTTGCGGAGGGGCGCGGCCCTCGAGGGAAGCTAGTGGACGGACCGTCTGCAGCGGTTACCGTTGGTCTCGGCATCGGACTCGACGCCAGCGTCTTCGAGAACGCCCGCTGTGCCGTCGAGGGACGCTGGGCTAGCAACGTTGGCCGGGCTGGATGGGTTGGGGCTTGGCTGGCTGGACCAGCCTGGCTATGTAGCTAGGCTGGCCGAACTGGTCGGGCTGGCTAGGTTCGTGGACTGGGCTGGGCTGGCTGAGCCTGGCCTTGCCAAGCTGGACTGGGCTTGCCAGGTCGGCTGGGCTGGCTGGGCCGGGCTGACTTAGCTTGCTGGGCTTTCCAAACTGGCTGGCTGGACATACGACGGCCGACAGGAACGAGGGGGTGCATCCTGTGAATCAGAATTGCACCCAAGAGTAAAACTCTGGCAACTCGGGGGCCGCTGGGATCGAGACTATCATATCCTACGGCTCGCTCAGAACCGCGCCCAGAAGCTTAGCTCTGGCAGCACGCAGGCCGCCAGGAGCGAGAGGATTGCGTCCTGCGGGTCAGCTTCGTGCCTGCCCAGGGGTGGAGTTCTGGCAACACAGAAGCCGCCATGATCGAGACACCAAGAATTTGTGGCCCTGAGTCGTAACACGAAGGCGACGCATTCGCGAGTAGAGCTCTTGCAAAACAAAAGGCAAGCATACTAACAATGTTTGCATACTGCGTCTCAGAGGCATACGGGGGAGTTCTGCTCTGGTCACGCCTGGGTGTCCAGGATGATCACATGCCGAGGACAGAGCCCTGCAAGCCTAGTAAGGTATAGAAACATACCCCTAACCATGGAGCCCCCTCCCCTCCCCTCCTCTGCCTCTCCTTACCCCCCGTCGGCAAATGCATCAACCTGTCCCCGCCTCATCCTCCTCCTCCTCCTCCTCTCCCTCCCTCCTCACTCTTCATCTTCGCCTCCCTTCACCTCCCCCTCCCATGCGCCGTCTTCGACGGGCAAGCGCCGCCATCAGCTCCTGCCGGGGCCACCGCCGCTTCTCTTTCGGCCTCGGCCATCTCATGCGTTCGGCAACGGCTGCGTCGGAGGTTGGAGGCTTGATGCCGAGGCGAAGCGCAGAACCCCCTACCCAGGAAACATGTTTCCGTGTCGGTTCGTGTCGGGCGGGCGACGTGCAGCTGTGCGGGGGGCGAGAGAGATGCTGCCACTTATGGAGAGAGCACATCACGTAACCCTACTGGAGGGAAACGATTCAGAAGATCACGCGGGGCTGACGATGAAAACAAATGTCCGCCAGCCCCGTGGCCCCCATGCAGTCGGGCTGCTGAAAGAAGGAACGCTGCATAAGGAACGAAGCCCCTCCTTGGCCCTGTAAGCGCCTCCGCGCCCCCAGGAGGGCAAGGGGACCAGCACCGGAGGCACCCTCCGGAACGCGTCGAGCCCCTCCCGAGCCCCAACTGCTCCTCACTTCAGCGTCTTGACAGCAATCGCGAGCCCATGAGCTCGGCCCCCGGAGCGCGGACAATTCGGGCTGGCCCCCGGGGCCGCCTGCATCGGAGGCCGTCGCGGGGAGCCCGCGGGTTAGGCCGGCCCCCCGGGCGGGGGGAGCGCCCGCGGGCCGACGACGACCCTTCCATCTCGGAAGCTGGGCGAGGGCTGCTATAACACCGTGGCTGCTGAGAGCCTGTTTTTCTTCACATCCAGGCAGGCTTACTTGCATGGCGTTCCCCCCCCCCCCCCCCCTCGCCCTTCTTCAGTCGAACACGAGCGTGCAGGTGCCTTTCGACTTGCGTGATCTCCGCACGTCGAATTGTTTTCGGCTTGCTTCAGACTCAGCCCCCCCCCCCGTCCATGCAAGTAAACTTGCCCGAATCCAAAAAAACAGGCTCTAAAACGGCCCTCCCGGAAGGAAAAAAACACTTCCCGGAAGGAGGCGCGGCACGCGAAAGAGTCCGCGGGCTTCTCCCCGCAAGGACGAAGACAACTTCCCGGAGGTCGATTTTCGCAGCCACGGATTAGCAGCCCTTGCCCGGCTTCCGATTCCATGGTGACCGCCGTGGGCCGAAGGCCGACAGTCCCGCCTCCCTCCTCTCGGGCCGGGCGAAAGGGGGGGATAGCAAAGGGGGGGTTTGAGAATCAGCTCGCGTAGCGGATTTTCCCAGCGCCTCCCGGCGCCGGAGGCGGCCATGCATCGAGGAATGGGCCCGGCGGCGGGGCCGAAACCAGCTGCATGCAGCAAATTTCGTAACCCCCCCTTTCCCAATCCCCCCCTTTCTTCCGGCACGATCCTCTTGCCTCCTTCCGCACTTCTGCCGAAGGCCCGCAGGGGGCCGCGAGGGTGGCGGCGCAGAGAGGTCGTCGGCGGTGGCGGCGTCGTCGTCGTCCGCGTCGTCGTCGTCGTCGTCGTTGTCGGTTTCGTTTTCGTCGGCGTCACGGTCGTCCGTGTAGACGGTCGGGCCGCCAACGAGGGCGACGGTGTCAACCACGACGCAGACGCCGTCGCCGACGCTGACAATGCCGACGCCGACGCCGACGCCCACGACGACAGCGTCGGCGGCGACGGCGACGACGACGAGGACATGGCCGCCGCCGATTCCTCCTCCGCACCTCCCTCCCTCCATCCCTCCACCTCGTCCTCTTCTTCTTCCTCCTACTCCTCCTCTTCCTTCCCCTCGCTTCTCTCCGGCCTTCACTCCTCTGCCCTCCCTCCCCTCTCCCTCCTCCAGCGAACATGGCGATTTCTCTCATGCGAATACTACAGACTTCGCCCCCCGCGCGCGTCGCGCAACGCACCGCCTGGTTTCAATGAAAAACACCGGTTAACTTGGAAAACCAATCGGCCACCGCGCAGTGATCACTTCAGCTTCGAGGCCAACGTGGAAACTGTCTAATGTGATCACTACAGAACTCGCCATCCGCGCGCGTGCGCGCGTCGAAGTCTGCACCGCAGGGCTGACATGTGAAAACTCATGTGGCCTTCGAGCTCCGATCGGTGACAGCTAAGGGACCGCTGTAGCTTATAGGCCAACAAGGCGACATTCCTGGTGTGAGCACCACTGCCCTCTCCGCCAGCACGCGTCGGGCGCAGCACAACACGATTGCATGTTAAATGGTAACTTGGAAATCCAATCGGTGACCGCTGAGGGCCCACTTTAGTTTCCAGGCCAGCGCATGGCGATTTTCTGCACGCGGGCGCTGGAGAACTCGCCACAAGCCCGCGCGCGTCGTGCGCTGGACCACATGGTTAAAACGTGGAGCCGCGTGTTTACTCGGAAATCCTATCGGTGGCCGCTGAGAGTTCGCCTGGATTTCCAAGCCAGCATGGCGACCTTTCCGATGTTGAACACTCTCGAACTCTCCACCCGCACGCGCGCGCGCGTCGTGCTACACCGCCTGGTTGACATGTGAAAGCATACGTTAACTTGGAAATCCGTTGGTGACCGCTCAGAGATAATGTTAGCTCCCAGGCCAACGCGACAACTTTTCGAACGCAAGCACTACGGACACCCACGCGCGCGAACACCAGAACCCATGTCAACTTGGAAATCCAACCAGTCACCGCTAGGGCTTGCATCTAGTTTCTAAGCCAACACTGCTACTTTCCTGCTCTGGACGATACAGAACTCCCCTTGCACGCGCGTGGGGGTTCTGTATTGCCGTCGTTCACCGCATGCACCAGGACCAATCCACTGGGAAATGCAGTCGGCCACCGCCAAGGGCAAAGTGCGCGGGGAGTTCTGCCTGATCCATCACAGGTAACATACATCAGACCGCATGTTAACATGGGAAGCATATCGGCCACGGTCAGGGCTCATTTCAGTATCCCAGCCAGCATTGCGATTTTTTAAATGCACAATGCAGAACTCCCCACGCGCGCACGTTCGTGCGCCGCGGCGCGCGCTCGCGCAGAGCGGCGTATCCGCCACCGTAGAAGCCATGCGCACTTGCCAATGTTGACATTGCAGTCCAAAGCGACCCCTCGAAAGCGAGGCCCCTTCGTGAGCGCCCTGCGCCGTCATAGGTTTTCGCCCAGGACGCCTTCCCCCCTGGGCAGAAATTTGACCTTACAAGAGAGCTGGCTGCCACAAGGGCGCCTGCCGCCGGTGCGAAGCGACCTCGGGCGCGCGCTGCGTGGGCGCTATCCTGGCTGCCGCGCCTGGGCCCTGGGCGCATCTCACGGCTCTCCCTCCCCTCGGAATAACCAACGCGGTGTCGGAACTTAGTGGGCCCTGGAAACGACAAGGACGTTTTTTTACCGGTTCCGTTTGGCCGTTGTTTTGCCGGTTCCAACGCCGCTTTTTAACCGGTTCCGTCGCCGTTTTTTGACCCGTTCCGGCTCCGGTTCCAATCCTGGAGCCGTTTTTTTGCCGTTTCCGGTCGCCGTTTTTTTGCCGCTTCCATTTTCAAGAGACATTTTTTGGAAACGGTGAAAAATGGCCCTGCCGTTTCCGGGGCCCACAAAGTGTCGGAACCCTCGTCCTGCTGCTGCCTCTCCTCATCATCATGCTCCTCGTCTCCGCGTCCAGAAAACACTATGCTCGATTGTATGCGCGGGCGACGGACGGGGTCTGCACCGACCAATCTCGAAGCGCAAGTGAGGCCAGGCGGTCATGCCATCCTTGACCCGTCACTGACGCCCCAGAGCAGGGGAGAAAAAGGGGGTTGGAGCACACGGTCAGTCTGGAACTCGGGGGTCCCGAAACCGTGTCGTGACAGGCCGTGCGCTGACCGCGCGATCCCCAACGACCTCACCGCACGGCCCCCCCCACCGCACGGTTTTGGGACCCTGAAGGTCCCAGTTGTCCGAGACGTCCTCGGAGGACGACCTTGGAGAATCCAAAAGGTACCGATACCGCTACTCCCCGGACCTCTCCCGGGGTGCGTTCTGACCAGACTTTCGGGGCGAATCCGACGGTGGCGACGAGGGCCTCCCAGGAGGCCCCCAAAAAGGGGAAGACGAGGAGAGGGCAGCGGTATGGGCAATGCGGGATGACGATTAATTAGAAAAATGGAGAGAACGATTAAAAGAGTACTATTTCTGCAGAATTTTCTGATTGGAGGAGAACGATTAAAAGAATAGTGTTCCAGCCCGCGGCCGGTTTTTTCTAATCGTCATCCCGGGCGCCGCCGCGTGAACACGAACCCCCGGTCGTTTATTAATCGTCACCCTCCATTACCCTTTCCTCCTCTGACGCCCGAGGTCCCCCGACGGCCAGTCTGGAGCACACGAGGCGCCGGCGAGCCCTCTGCGCGGCGAGCGGAGGAGGAGGAGAAGGAGGAGAGGAGGAGGAGGAGGAGGCGGAGGAGGCGGAGGAGGCGGAGGAGGAGGGCGGAGGAGGAGGAGGAGGAGGCGGAGGCGGAGGAGGCGGAGGAGGAGGAGGAGGAGGAGGAGGAGGAGGAGGAGGAGGAGGGAGGAGGAAGAGGAGGCGGAGGACGAGGAGGAGGCGGAGGAGGAGGAGGGAGGCGGAGGAGGAGGCGGAGGAGGAGGCGGAGGAGGCGGAGGAGGAGGAGGAGGAGGAGGAGGAGGAGGAGGCGGAGGAGGAGGAGGAGGAGGAGGAGGAAGAGGAGGGCGCGGGCGCCGGGAGCACGGGCGCCCGCGCGGCCGAGGAGAGGCGCCCGCCCACGAGGGCCCCCGCGGAGGGCAGAGGCGGCAGGCGTGCTTTTGCACCGCGGCGCGAGGCGCTGCGCTCGCGCCCTCGTCAGGCCATGAGAGGCTCACAAAATTCTGCCATTTCTTACCAGCCTCGAATGTATCCCTATCCCTAAGATTGACACGCCAAAAGGCGATGACAATCTTAGAGATCCGCCCGCAAAAAATAACCCTGAGATTGGCATCGTGATGAGGAGGTGCCCAGCATAGGGATAGGGATATGTTCCAGGCTGGTAAATTTCAGCCCGCCAGCTTTAAATCTCGAGGCGGGGTGGGGGCGAGACTGCGTGTCATACGAGAAACGGGCGGGCTCCGCTTCCTACGTGCCGAAGCACGGCCAGCACGTGCTGACACTGCCACCTGCGCGAGAGCTTAGTGAGGCGGTCGAGAAAACGGGGAGAGCGCTGCACAAGAGACCGGCATCTTCGGCACGGTGGTGCAGGCTGGCTCGACGGCAAGACCAGAAAGAACGATATGATCGGGGTTCACGCTGCACTTGCCGCTCAGGCCCCCCGAAGGGCGGATCACGAGGAGAAGAGGTAAGGAGGGAAGGTGGGTAGGAGGAGAGGAGGAGACAATCAGAGCCAGAAGTGGACCAGACTCAGGGTAGGGTAGGGAAATGCTGGCCGAAGGGACCAAGGCTGCGTGGAGAATGCGAGGACTGGAGCGGGGCCAGACTTAGAAGACCGCCGGGTCAGAGGAACGCGAGAGAAGAGAGGGAGGAGAGGACACAAGGGAGCAAGGAGGGGGGGAGGGGAGGGGAGGGAGGCATGCGGGGTGAACACTGGATTATTCGGACATCGGGGTCTCGAGGCCGACCAGCGGCCAACCGCGGAAGGACCCCAGGCCCCTGGCAAGATCACAGATGCGCCGAGGTCAGGCCCTGACCAGATCCTCCTCCTCCTCCTCCTCCTCCTCCTCCTCCTTCGCCCACCGAACAGACAATCCTAAAAGTCAATGTTCTTCTTGGAGTGATCCCCGCCAGGGTGTTCCAGTGCACAAAGGTGCATCTTCCTGTGTTGTTGGTGCCTGCTCTGGGTGAATCTCACCTGTGGATGCTGCCGATGTGTGCTCTTGGTGAACCCTGTAGGTATGTGTCATGTGGGTTGTTCTTGATGTGTGTGCTCCTGGCGTGCGTGAGCTGACTTTGAAGCTAGTGTATGTGGCATGTGCCTGACTAATGTTTGGTGTTGGCGTATGCTGCTGACTTATGTGGTTGGTGTACATTCTTGGGACAACTGTTGTTGTATGCTGTAGGTACGGGTCGTCGGCGCCCGTTCTTGACGTGAGATCCTTATGTTGGTACGTTGCTGATGCGTGTGATTCAGACGTGTTAATGATGAATGGGATTCGTGTGGTTCTTACCTGGTGTATCTGAATGAGAAATGGTCTGGGATGGCAAGTATCGATGTAATGTGCCTGTGTGGGTGCGTGCGTGTGTCGTCAACGTATGTTGTTGACACTTGATCTTGGGTGTTATCTTGGAGCATGTCATTCGGATCTGGCATTGTGATGTACATCCGTGGTGCATTTACTTGAGATGCGATCTTGGTGTCGGTGGTGCCCGTTCCTGAAATCGGTTCTCAACGCATGTGTTTGATGCATGCTGTTGATGCGGGTTGCTGATGCCTGGTATTCCTGTGCGGTGTACATGCATGCTCTTGATGTCTGTCCTTGGGGACATGATCTTGATGTCTGCGGCCTTGTGGACAGTGTTATTGATGTCTGGTAGTGGTGTATGTCGCTGGTGCAGGCGATTGATGTGGTCATGTGTGTACAACAATGAAGTCTGTTATTGATGCACGTTCTTGGTACATGGGTTTGCTGTGAGCCACTGGTGTCGGTTGTTCTTGTATGGCCTTGGCGCCTGCTCTACACGTAGGTTAGGGGCGCATCTTCTAAATGCCTGTGCCAGACCTACGTGTTTGTTTCCTGTTGTTGGTGTACGTGGTTAATGTCTGTATTTGGTGGTTGTTATCGATGCGTGCTCTTGGTACGGCGTCGGTTATCATTCTATGATGCGTATGTTCTCGATCCATATGTTCATTGTCGGTTGTCGGTCGATGCGGGTTCTGAATGCCTGTGCTAGATGACTGTGGACAGCGTGACGTCGTGACGCCTGGTCGGTTTGACGCCTCCCTGGTGGGGTTGTCTGCCAGTTACGCCTGTTCCAAATGCCTGTGCATTACTGCGTCACTGGACGGTCGGAATCTCTGAGTCGGGAGCGGCCGAGGGGGGGTGCAAATCATGACCGGCGGCATGTGCGCGGCCCAGCGGGGGGGCCAGGGACGCACTGCAATCAGAAGAGGCGCCATGAAATCTGGGGAAATACCATGGCCCCCGCCATGATACCCCCCCCCCCCTAGTCCTCACCCCCCTATTTGCCGCCCCCGACTGAGGCCTGGCGGCCGCGGTATGCAAGGATTGGGCGCCCGAGTTATCCGGGGTAACTCGGGTCCGGGGTAACTCGTGTTCGGATTCCCGAAAAAGGAACCCGAGTTAGCCCTGACCCGAGTTACCCCTGATGATTCGGGGCTCTGGACGCCCGAGTCATCCGGGGTAACTCGGGTCCGGGGTAACTCGGGTTGGGATTCCCGAAAAACGAACCCGAGTTAGCCCTGACCCGAGTTACCCCTGATGATTCGGGACTCTCGGGTCGGGCGAAAGGGGGGGATAGCAAAGGGGGGGGTTGAGAATCAGCTCACGTAGCTGATCTTCCCGGCGCCTCCCGGCGCCGGGAGGCGCCCATGCATCGAGGAATGGGCCCCTCGGTGGGGCCGAAACCAGCTGCATGCAGCAAATTTCGTAACCCCCCCTTTCCCTACCCCCCCCTTTCGTTCGGCCCGGGACTCTGAAAGGAGGGCGAGGCGGGTCACCCAAAGGATCGCCACCGAATGCTGGGGCAGGGGCGGCCAGCGGCACGCGGGGCGGGCGGGGCGGGAGGTCCGGGGAGCACACCCTGCGTTCTCGGGGCCCGGCAGCCGCGGCATGCTGGGCGGGCGAGGCGTTTTTTTTTGGTTTTGTTTTGTTTTAGTGAATTTTTTGGGAGGATTTGTTTGTGTTTGTTATATATATATATACACATATATTGGTGAAAAAGAAAAAGAGAAACAATACATCTAACTCGGGAAGCGAACTCTATACACCGAGATGTGTTCCCGGCCCTGCGCTGAAATTTACGCTGGAGAGCGGATTCTGGTGTATGCGGGATCCTGGTGTATGCATGTTTCGCTGCTTCCCTGGGAAAGCGGGGGAAACGTATACACCACACCACCACCACGTCGTCCCCGACCCTCCAAAAGTGTTGGGATTGAAAAACAAGCCGCCACTGGTAATGCATATGTTCCAGCTTCCGACTAACAACTACAACCTGTCGGAAGGGGATAGAACATACGAGCAGTAAGAATACGAATCTTATACATAAGACTTCTTTTGGCAATGACACAAGTAGTAAGACTGCTGATGCTAAGCATCGTACGAATAGTATCAAGGGTAACAAGACGCCTTGGTGTAGGAACGCAACGGGCACATGTCTGAACCAATATAGCTAGCCTGAGGCGGCGCTGGATCTGTACGTCGAGGGCCCTCCACAAGGGAGTTTCTTATTCTCGGGCAGCGGCCGCACGATGGATAGTCGGCATTGCGGGCCCCCCCTGCACTGCAGGCCCGGAAGCAGCGGCGTGATCTGGCGAGGGGGTCGGGGCTCGGCTCTCCTCTGGGGTGTCACTGGCGGTCTGGGCTGACGTGAACCCTCCCCGTCCCGCCTTCCTCAGTCCTTCCCTCCCGCCTTCCTCCGACTTTCCACCCCTCCCGACCCCATCCTGCGCCAGGGAGAGTGATCAGCGTCTTTATGCACAGGTCACGAGATGAATTCGAAGGAGGCAGTTCAGCAACTGCGGACGTGGCATGGTGCTACACGCTATGAGTCACCACTCGAATACTAAATTAGCAAGCGGCGAACACTCTTAGAGATCGATGCCTAAATTCACCATTCTATGCAGCGACCACGCCCAACTATAGAAATATCAACCTACGAACTACCAAGATATGCACAATTCATGCCTGCGAATTCGCAAGGGTTGCGCTAACTGCTGCAGGTGTGCTGTCGCACTGAGAGCCTGCCCCCGTCACATCAGCCAATTAAAACACATACTCGGACCAGTCCCCCCTGATACTGTTCCACTTGTTGCTGTACCATCCTGTTGGAATCGTACAAACTCCAGCCCTCCTTGCGACAGACAGCCCATTGCCACAACAACAATGGAAAGGCCACTACGCATACCTGGTGCCACCTGCAGTGAGTTGACACAGTTGGCAATCCCTTTCAGAAGACGCGCACAGCACACAGATTGGTCGCGTTGGCGTCCGCATCCGTAGTGTGCTGGAGTGTGGATTGAAATTCCCTACACGTATCAAACCCCGCTCCAGCAGTGCCGATACTGCGAAAATCATGGGTGGGCCATCGCGACGTGCTGCATGTCCGAAGAATGACGGAGTAGTCCTGCGGCCGCACCGTGCACTAGTACATTACCCTGAGCTTACGTGTTGTGTTCTCCGTTCTGACTGTATTCCGATCCCACGCTTCCTAGCTCGTGAGGACAGCTGGGGACGCCAATGTATCGCAACCGCGGCAAGGCCACCAATGCATGCCCGACGCAATCTACCACGGACGTTGCACCCTCGCAAATGTGTGCCAAACCCGCAATAGTTTTGAAAAACGTGCTGCACCTTGCGAAGCATTGGCGTTCCTGACTCTCTTTCTTTTTGTTTGCTCTCATTCTCTCTATCAGTTCATACACGCATATACACACGTATATATATATATATATGTATGTATGTATGTATAGACGTACGCATACATCAAACTTGTACTCAGTTATATTCACCTATGTATATGCATGTAAATGAATGTCTATGTCGCGTGCATATATTCATACATACGTATGGATGTCTACATAGATTGCGTATGGATGGTTGGATGGGTGGATGTATGCATCTATGTAATGTATGCATGGTATGTGTGTACGTACGTATGTACGTACGTATGCACGCATGCATGCATGCATGGATGTATGCGTGTATGTGTATATATACAGATGTTCATATATATGCAGTCGTGTATGTACGAATGTGTGTATGTATGTATGCATGTATGTTTATATGTTTAGTTACCAATGCATGCATATGGAACTACAGATTAGATATATGTGTATGCACGCACCTATGTAAGTGTAGTTATGTGTATATACATCGATATCTCAGCGTGAGGGGGCCGAATGGTCATTCATTGTCCCTGGGTGCGTGGCTGAAGTGGGGATCCGTGGTGAGGCTTCTGCTTGTTGTGTTGTTGTTACTGTTGCTGTTGTTTGTTGTCGTCGTCCCACACGCGACCCACCCGCGACCCACCCCGCGACCCACCCCGCGACCCACCCCGCGACCCACCCCGAGACACACCCCGCGACCCACCGGCGACCCAACCCGCGACCCACCCGCGACCCACCACGCGACCCACCCGCGACCCACTAGCGACCCACCCGCGACCCACCCCGCGACCCACCCGCGACCCACGCCGCGACCAATCCACGACCCACCACGCGACCAACTCGCGACCCACTTGCGACCCATCCGCGACCCACCCCGCGACCCCGCGGGCTCACTCGCAATCTGCCGACGTCCCCACCGCCCCCTCACTCTTATCCGCATCTGCGGGGTGATACGTATGTATCCGCCAGGCCCAGATAAGGCCCCAAGACAACCCCCAAACGCCCTCAAATATCCCCAACACCATTTCCAATATGCATCCGAGAATCCTCCCAAGAGATCCTCCCAAGCATCAAGTTGGCCTCTGACCTACAAACCCAGCACGTTGGCGGAATGGGCAGAAGGCCACCAAATCCGCCGCCCCCTTTTGATTCATCGAAGGGGTGCCTGGCGTGCCGAACTATATGGCTGTTGGTTTTGGTTCTTTTTTCCAAAAGAACTCCCCCTGGGGCTCTGGCGCCAGATGAAAACGGTTTTCCTGCCCCAGACGGCCCCAAGATGGCCTCCAAGACGGCCAAGACGCCTCCAAGACGGCCACGATGGCCTCCATGACGGCTCAGAGGGCCCCAAGATGCCTCGAAGACGGCCCAAGATGTACCCAAAACGGCCTAAGACAGCCTGAAGATGGCCCAAGACGGCCCACGAGGCCCTCAAGAGGCCTCCAAGACGGCCCAAGAGGCCTCCAAGAGGTCCTCCAGGAAGGCCCGAAGAGGCAAAATTATTGATTATCCTCAGGTTTTTCCCCATATGTTTCGTGGGGTTATGGTTTTCTTCCCTGCCGCGGCGCACCCGCGTCTCCTCACACCTCCCCTCCTCCCTCTTCTTCCTCTCCTCACCCGTGGCAGGCGTGGCACTTCCTCGACACCTGAGCGGGTGCGCTGGGGGTGGGGGCTCTATCCGTTTCGGGCTCGCAAAGCGTGGCAGGCGTGGCACTTCCTCGACACCACAGGGGGTGCGCTGGGGGTGGGGGCCCTATGCGTTGCAGGCTCCCAGGGCGTGGCAGGCGTGGCATTTCCTCGACGCCACAGGGGGTGCGCTGGGGGTGGGGGCCCGCGTTGCAGGCTCCCAGGGCGTGGCAGGCGTGGCATTTCCTCGACGCCACAAGGGGTGCGCTGGGGGTGGGGGCCCTATGCGCTGCAGGCTCCCAGGGCGTGGCAGGCGTGGCATTTCCTCGACGCCACAAGGGGTGCGCTGGGGGTGGGGGCCCTATGCGCTGCAGGCTCCCAGGGCGTGGCAGGCGTGGCATTTCCTTGACGCCACAGGGGGTGCGCTGGGGGTGGGTGCCCTATGCGCTGCAGGCTCCCAGGGCGTGGCAGGCGTGTCATGTCCTCGACGCCACAGGGGGTGGAGGAGGTAGAGGAGGAGAAGGTAGAGGAGGAGGAGGAGGAGGAGGAGGAGGAGGAGGAGGAGGAGGAGGAGGAGGACGGGGAGGTGGGGCAGCAGCAGCGGCAGCAGCAGCAGCAGCAGCTGCAGCAGCAGACGCAGCAGCAGCAGCAGAAGCAGCATCAGCAGAAGCAGCAGCAGGAGGAGGACACCGAGGAGGAGGAGGAGCACCAGCAGAAGCACCGATAGTACACATGGGAAATAAAATAGGTATGTGGGGTTCCTCGGTAGCGTAATTGAAGGATTTCGGCATTTGCGCTTTTTCGGTCGGCTTTCCGACGGCTCCAGACGGCCCAAGAGACCCCCAAGATCGCCCCGAGATCGCCCAAGAGGCCTCCAAGATGGCTCCGTGACGGCCCAGGAGGCCCCCAAGACGGCTCCAAGAGGGCCGCAAGACGGCCCAAGAAGCCTCCAAGACGCCCAAGATGGCCTCCCAAACGGCCCTGGAGCACCCCAAGAGGGCCCCAAGTCGGCCCAGAAAGGCTCCCGAAACGGCTTCCGACGGCGTCAGACGGGCCAGGAGCCCACCAGGATAGCCGAAGGTGGCTCGCAGCTGGCCCAAGACGGCCCAAGAGGCTTCCAAGAGGGCCTCCAGGAAGGCCAGAAAAAGCCAACAATATTGATCATCCGTAGGTTTTTGAAGGATTTTGACACTTGCTTCGTTTCGGCCTTCCGGCTGCCCGATACGGCCCAAAATCTCCCAAAGGTCGCCCAAGGATCGCCCAAGAGGCCTCCAAGATTGCCCCAGAACGGCCCAAGAGGAGCTCCTGTGGAGCCTTCAACTTTTCACATTTCGGCTCTCTGGTGGCCTTCTTAGGAGCAGCTTGGGCCATGGACCATGGTAGCCTCTTGGGGCCTACTTGCGGTGTTCTTGTGTGTGTGTGACCTCTGGATGTGAGAATTGTGTAGAAGCAGATACGTGGTGGGTACTATATGGTGGAACAGCTTGCAATAACCCACTCCAGCGCACGCGCAAATATCCCACGCTTCCAGCCGCAATGTGTTTTGCAAAGCCCATGCAGCCACGACTGCAGCCATTAATTGGCACTTGACCGCGTGTCTTTGCGGCCGCGCTGGCGCGCGCATGCTCGCGCCCATAGCGGTCAGCTGGTTTGGCACAGGTTATGCAGCAGCGACGGCGCTTACCGATGCGGGCTTCCCAGCGCGTATCGAAGGCCGCGCTGGCGCGCGGGCACTTCAGTGTGGGTCGGTGACTCTGGCGGGCACGGTATCACGATGACGTCGGCGACGAAAGCAACGATGGTAGTCATAGCGATGGTGGTGGTGATGATGACGATGATGACGACAAGGCCGGTTACGGCGCCGATGCCAGTGATGATGATGACGGCGACGATGATGTTGCTGCTGCTGGTGGTGATGATGATGATGCTGATTATGATGATGATGATGATGATGATGACGATGATGATGATGATGATGATGATGGTGTCCACGTGGCGGTAATGAACATGGTTGTGCAGATGATGGCGGCAATGGCGGCGATTGCTGGTGACGCTAACAACAATTCCACGGTGTCGCTGATGAGGGTGGTGAGGAAGTGCGCGCGCGTTGACCTTCAAGTGTTCTACATGTTTGGACGAGCTACATCCCGAAATGCTCCAACAACCAAAAATGTTTGAAGGACTTCGACACGCTTGCGTGGCGGCGCGCGCATGAAGTCAGCATGGTGTAATTTGGTTCGGGCTCGTGCACCTGGCGCATGCTAGATTAACGAGGGGGGCACCGCGCGGTGGGGCGAGAATGCGGGCTATGGACGAGAATGCTGAAACCAAGTATTTTCCAGATGATGTCAGCAATTGCGCACGGGCGCTGTTTTTGATGATGAGCCGACTGCCTTTCATTGCTGTTATGTTGAAGCGCTTGCAGCACGACGGTGTTTTGTACGAGCTCGACATGTGCAGGGGCGTGTGGGCTCTGCTTTTTCGGTGAGGGGTTCTTGGATGACAATATGTCGAGCTAAACGAGTGCGCGCATTATATTATTTGACAGGAGCGAGGGAGGTCCAATATCGGCTGGGCTGGGAAGGTGCGACTCCATGTGGGCAGCGAACGACGGGGCACAACCATACGTACATTGAATGTCCTTGAGGGGCGCCGATAAACCAAGGCTCGGGAAGGTGATTTAGTCAATTCTTCTTGTAAACAGAAAACTAAGCCGATTGTCGATACCGAATTTGTCTACCTTACTGCCCGCGCAAGCATCCCACCCAACCGCCCGCAACGTGTTGGCAAACCCCAAACTGGCCGGCGACAGCGGCAACGACGATTAATTACGCTGGTG